GTGAACCAAATACAGCAGCACATAAAGGATTATGCACCATACAAGTGGAATTTATCTCAGAATCCAAGGTTGGTTTACCATCTGAAAATCAATTAATATACTATATTATACCAATAGATACGGGACAAACACTAAATGATCATCCTAGTAGACACAGCAAAAGTATTTGATGAAAGCTAACAGTGCTTCATGATAAAAACAATAAACGAGAAATAGAAGGGAACTTCCCAAGCCAAATACAGAACATCTACAAAAACCCCCACAGCTAACATCATACTCAGTGGTCAGAAGTCTAAATGCTTTCCCTTTAAGATCAGGACCAAGATAAATGCCCACCTCTGCTATTTAGTATTGTATTGAAGGTAATGGGCAGTTAGGCACGAGAAATAAAAGGCATCCAGATTGGAAAGGAAGAAGTAAAACTATATCTGCAGATGGTATGATTTTTATACAGAAAATTCAAAATAATAAAAGTAATAGAGCTAATAAATGAATTCAACAAAGTTGTAAAACACAAACTGCATATTCAAAATCAGTTATATTTCTGCACACTAGAAATGAACAATCTTAAAATGTAATTAAGGAAACAATTCCATTTGCAACAGCACCCAAAATATTAAATTACTTGGTGTGTGTGGGAGTGCGTCTGGGTGCCTTAGTTGGTTAAACATCGATCTTTGGCTCAGGTCATGATCTCAAGGTCCTGGGATCCAGCCCCAAGTTAGGCTCTCTGCTCAGCAGGGAGTCTACTTCTCCCTTTCTCTCTGCCTCTCTCTCTCCCCTCATTCACTCTTTCTCTCTTGCTCTCAATTAAATAAAAATATTTTTAATTCATTAAAATAGGAATATGTTTAATAAAATAAATACAAAACTTATATTCTGAAAATTTCAAAACATTAAAGAAGACTTAAATGAACTGGTAAGGCGGGTGGCATCCCATGTTAATGGAGTAGAAGTTTTAAGATTCTTAGCTGACACTACTTCCCCCATTCCCTGCAGACCCAGTGAAGTCCTTATAAAATTTCAGGTTGTTGGCCCCCCCCCCCCACCGCCAGTTTAACAAGCTGATCGTAAAACTCGTGACAATTTGACAGATCCAGAATAGCTAAAACAATCTTGAAACAGAACAATGTTAGAGGACTCATGCTTCCTAATTTCAAAATTTACTATGAAGCTGTGGTAATTACTATGGTCTGAATGTTTGTTTGCTCCCCCCTCACCCCCACCCCTCGCAAAGGTGATGGTATTAGTAGGTAGGTGAGGCCTTTGGAAGTACTTAAGTCATGAGAGTGGAACCTTAATGAATGGGATTAGTGCCTTATAATAGATTCCAGAGAGATCCTTAGCCCCTTCTGCTGAGGATTTACAAGAAGTCTGCATCCTGGAAGAGCACCCTCACCAAATCATGCTGGCATCCTGATCTCAGACTTTCAGAACTGTGAGAAGTAAATGTTTATTGTTTATAAGCTACCTAATCTATAGTATTTTGTTATAGTAGCCTGAACAGACTAAGACAGTAATCAAAATGGTGTGGTAATGGCATGAAGAGAGACATGTAGATCAATGCACTAGATTTGAAAGATCACAAATAAGCTCTCACATTTATAGGGAATTAATTTTCAGCAAGGGTCCAGACAAGTCGATGGGGAAGGAATAGTCTTCTCAACAAATTGTGCTGGTAAAACTGGATATCCACCTGCCAAGGAATGAAGTTGGATCCCTTCTTTACATTACACACAAAATGAACTCAAAATAGATCATAGCCTAAATTGTCTAGTTAAGAGTTAAAAGTGTAGGGACATCTGGGTGGCTCAGTGGTTGAGTGTCTCTGCCTTTGGCTCAGGTTGTGATCGTGGGGTCCTGGGATTGAGTCCTGCATCAGGCTTCCCATAGGGAGCCTACTTCTTCTGCCTATGTCTCTGCCTCTCTCTGTGTCTCTCATGAATAAATAAATAAAATCTCTAAAAAAAAAAAAAAGTTAAAAGCGTAAAGAAGCTAAAAGTACTAAAAACTCTTAGAAAGAAATACAGGAGTAAATCTCTAACACCATTGGTTAGGCAAAGCCTTCCTAAACATGACACCAAAGGCACAAGCAACCAAAGAAAATAGATGCATTGGATTTCCTCAAAATTAAAAACTTTGTTGCTTCAAGAGCACCATCAAGAAAGTGAAAACCCACAGAATAGAATATTTGTAAATCCTATATCTGATAAGGATATCTATAGATATCTATATATTTAGAATAATTCTCACAGGGGATCCCTGGGTGGCACAGCGATTTAGCGCCTGCCTTTGGCCCAGGGCGCGATCCTGGAGACCCGGGATCGAATCCCACGTCGGGCTCCTGGTGCATGGAGCCTGCTTCTCCCTCTGCCTATGTCTCTGCCTCTCTCTCTCTCTCTGTGTGTGTGACTATCATAAATAAAAAAATTAAAAAAAAAGAATAATTCTCACAGAAAAGGGCAAATCAGCCAATTAAAAAATAGGCAAAACAATTTAAATAGAAATATCTTCAAAGAAGATTTGCCAATAGCTAATAAGCACATGAAAAGATGCTCAAAGTCATTAGTCATCAGAGCGATGCAAATTAAAACCACAGAGATGAAAAACCATAGAGACAGACAATAACAAGTATTAGGGTGTGGAGAAATCGGAGCCCTCAGAGCTGCTGGTGGGACGATGAAATAGTACAGATGCTGTGGAAAATAGTCTGGCACTTCCTCAAAATGTTAGACGTGACGGCTTATAGGTTCCCAACAGGAGAAATAAAATTTAGGTCTATACCACAGTTTATTCACAATAGCCAAAAATTGGAAACAACCCAAATGTCTCTCAACTGACAAATGGATATAAAGAAAATGCGGTCTGTCCGTACAAAGGGGTATCGCTCAGTTATGAAAAGGAATGAAGTCCTGATTCATGCTGCTACATGGGTGAACTTTAAAAACATGTATGGTGGAAGAAGCCAGTCACAAAACGCCATGTATGGTAGGGTTCTGTTTATATGAACTGTTCAAAAGGCAAATCCACAGAGACCTAGAGTAGATAGATGAGTGGTTGCCTAGGAGTGGGGTGGGGGTACTTGAGGAATAACTGTTAATGGGTGTGGAATCTCTTCTGGGGGATGAGGAAAATGTTCTAAAATTGATTGTGGTGGTTGTATGACCCTGCAAATATACTAAAAACCATTGAATTATATGCATTATATAGATGAATTATGTAGTGTATGAATTGTATCTGATAATGCTGTTACATAAAAATATACCAAGTGAAAATTTGCAGAACAATATATATGAATATATCTTCATAAAATATGTTTAAAAATAAAAGGTTATATTCTTAAAAACTGGCAAAATTTGTGAAGCACTATAAAAGTGACATTGGTGTATTTTCCCTTGTTAATAGTAGCTTTCATCATGTAACAGAACTGGTGACAAAATTTCTTCACAGTAGCTGATGCCATCCTCATTATTAAAATAACAATAGCATTTATTGTATTCTCTCTATATGCCAGCATTGTGCAAAAAAATTTTTTTAAAGATTTATTTATTTATTTTAGAGAGAAAGGGAGCATGAGCAGGAGGGGCAAAGGCAGCAGGTAGGGGGAGAGAGAGTACATCTCCACTAGTTGCAGAGCCCAACTCGGGGCTTGATCTCACCACCTGAGATCACAGCCTGAACTGAAACCAAGAGTCAGATGCTTAACTGACTGTGCCACCCAGGCACCCCTGTGCTAAATTCTTAATACGCACTTTCTCATTTGTTTTTCACAATACTTGATGGTGGCCCCATATTTTCTATCAATCTCCGCTTGCTTTCCATTCTCTAGCATTTGCAAAATTATTATTTATCTGAATGTGCAAAATACACAGTTCCTTTTGTTTCTATTAGCAGTAGCCATAAAGTAAATATTGTAGGTCTTAATTTGAAATGGTATTCGGGACGCCTGAGTAGTTCAGCTGTTGAGTGTCTGCCTTTGGCTCAACACGTGATCCTGAGTCCTGGGATCAAGTCCCACATCGGGCTCCCTGCATGGAGTCTGCTTCTTCCTCTGTGCCTATGCCTCTCTCTTTCTCTCTCTCTTTCTGTCTGTCATGAATAATAAAATCTTTTAAAAAAAAAACAAAACCAAAATGGCATTCATGTGATCCTATGCAGTTATAAGAGCATATTGATAAATCTATATGTGTTTAAGGTTTAAAGTTTCAATTAAAACTTAAATCTTTAACTTGTTATAGTTGATTCCAATTGGAGGAGAAAATACTTTCTAGTTACGTGTCAGGTTTTTTTTTTAATTTTTATTTATTTATGATAGAGAGAGAGAGAGAGAGGCAGAGACATAGGCAGAGGGAGAAGCAGGCTCCATGCACCGGGAGCCCGACGTGGGATTTGATCCCGGGTCTCCAGCATCACGCCCTGGGCCAAAGGCAGGCGCTAAACCGCTGCGCCACCCAGGGATCCCCCGTGTCAGGTTTTTAAATTTAATGTAGCACTAAACTTGAAAGGTGATCATTGGCAAAGATAATTTCTAGAATATTTTTTTCCCATTGCAAATATAGACTCATATCTCAGTTGTCTGTGCTGCTATAAAACAATACCATAGACTACCTGACTTAAATAACATCTATTTCTCACAGTTTTAGAGGCTGGAAAAGCCTAAGATCAAGGCGCTGGCAGTTTTGGGTCTTGGTGAGGGCCCTCTTTCTGGCATAGGGATGACTGCCTTCTTGCTGTGTCCTCTCAAGGAGAGCAGAGTGAGAACAAGCTTTGGGGTCTCTTCTTATAAGGGCACTAATCCCGCCAGAGGGCCCAACCCTGATGGCCTCATTGAAACCTGAGCACCCCCAAAGGTCCCACCTCTAGATGCCATCACATTGGGGTTAGGGCTTTGACACATTAATTGGGGGCCGGTTGGGGCGGCCAACACAAGGCACTCCCTAGCAACTAGTTGGGAACATCTTCTCCCTAAATGCTAACCCTAGATTTCTGTTTGTTTTCAGTATTATGTGCCAAGAACCTTGCAAAGAAAGACTTCTTCAGTAAGTACCCACCTGCTTTTGCTCCTTTACAATGTTAATACTCTTCACATGTTCTTGCAATAAACTTTTTAAAAACCACCGAGAATGTTCCCTTAAGAGTCCGATCCTTTCGCGAATAGCTCCGTGGTTTGACACACTTCATTTCCGAGTTGACTACAATGCAAGGCTCCTTAGCTGCCAGGCATGGAGTTTATAACTCCTACAAGAAAAATGATCTCTCTTGCTCCCTGTTCCAGCCACACCCTGTTTTCTGTCTTTCCACCCACTAATATATTGCTTTGGGTTGGATGAAGTGTTCTCAGCTCAAATTCACAAGAGACATTTTTCTATAGAATAGCTGGGTTTGAGTCAAATTGTTAAGTTGAATTTTAGAAATTAAAGCACATTTTGAAAGCCTCAGAATGACAGGAAGCGTAAAAAATAGAGGATCTTTTTCTGAAGGAAGAAATCACCCCTTAAAGAAATTGACCTACTATAAGGTAGGTGCCGGCAGCATGACATTCTCCACTCTTCCTCCTTGCAAGAATGCTGCTCAGTTCTTAAGTGACATTTTTTACACTTTCACCTTAGGCTCACAGGCTCTGTTCAAGCAGTTAAGAAGCTCATTAGTAGTGACTCCCAACCGGTGTGTCTCCAAAGGCCCCTGTCTTGCCACCTCTCTGATCGAGTAGATGTGTGTGATTCAGATGCCACCATTTAGGAACCTACCTGATTAAGACTTGGTGAATACTTGTGTCCATAGATAAAATAGACAAAATATCAGTAAAGATTTCTAGGTATTCTTTTTTAGAAGGGTTAAAGACAATTAATTATAGATCCCTTTTCTTCCATTTAATTAGCTCACTCAGTGATCAAAAATGAAATTTTGAATTTAGGTGTATTTTATCTTTTTCTAGCCTCTCAAAATCTGAGAGTCATGTCATACTTGGTTGCCTTTCTTAGAAAGCTAACTAACAATAACTTATTTTTCTGATCAGACTAACCCTTAATTAGAGAATAAAATGCACCAGGATGATCTTCACCAAATTAGATGTTTGGGAAGCTCTCTGTAGCCTGGAAGATTGTGTTCTGTGTCGCATGGAGGGATCTGTAGTCTCATCCAGGCGTGGCTGTCCCTTCTCCTGTAGGACTCCCCGACCCCTTTGCAAAGATTGTGGTGGATGGATCTGGGCAGTGCCACTCAACGGACACTGTGAAAAACACGTTGGACCCAAAATGGAACCAGCACTACGATCTGTGAGTTGAATATTCTATAAGCCTTTTGGGGAACCCCAGGAAAGTAGGTATCTAGCTTTTAAGATAAATGTTTAATAATAAAGATAAAAATGATTTACTGATTTCTTACTGATAACAAAAGTGGACAGCCAAATGAATACATACTGCCTTATTTTAGAATCTGTGTACTTGGAAGTTCTTACATTTGACATTTTCGTGGATTTTTATGGTTTGCTTCTGTAACTGTGTCAGACTTTTCAATCTCCTGGCCGTCCTAACAGGAAAAAAAGGCCATAGTTCAGGTCTTCTATATGCTACTCTTTTTTGTTTTTTATCTTTTCCATTGAGACTCCAAACCTGGTTGTAGAGTTTTTACTGTACTTTTAGTTTTTTTTTTAATATTTTATTTATTTATTTGAGAGAAAGTGAGGGAGAGCAGGAGCAGAGGAGGAGGGCCAGAGGGAGAGGAAGAGGCAGACTCCATGCGGAGTGTGGAGACTGACTTGGGGCTTGATCCCAGGGTCCTAGGATGATGACCTGAGCCAAAGGTAGATGCTTAACCAATTGAGCCAACCAGGCACCCCTAGAATTTTATTTTAAAAATGCATATTGTGGCTCAGTTGGTGGAAGCATGGGACTCTTGACCTTGGGGTTGTAAGTTCAAGCCCTATTTTGATCGTAGAGATTACTTACAAATAAAATCTTTTAAAAAATACATTATTAAAAAAATAATAAAAATAAAAATGCATTATTATCATGCATGTTTATTATGCAAATATGTATTATATGTATCTCTATTTTTTAAAATCCCACTTTTTAGTACAAATATATTTTCTACAAGAGAAAATATAGTTTGGGTGGTTGAATGTGTATAAGCCTATGCAACCATCAATTTCTTACATTCGTTCGTAAGATGGATTGTACTTTGAAAGCCACTATTTTATACACACCTTCGTTTTCATGTCCCTGGTAAGAAATTTTGGTTGAAGGAACGTGGAGTGATTCTTGGTTTTGTAGGATACAGATTGCACTGAGTTTTTGGTGGGATTTTTCGTAACTGGATTCCAAGACCCATTTCAGTTACACTCAAGAATCCTAAGTGGCTTGGAAAGTGGTTGTCATCCCTTGTCTCGAAAGCTGCCTTCTTGGTTGATTTGCATGGCAAATAGGAGGGGTATAAAGTCTGACTTAGTACTCTTCAGTGTGCTTTGGGTGGATCCGTGGGTTTATAAGTAGGCCCTTGTTGCAAACTGGTATTCTACATTAAGCCTAGTTGGTGGGAATTTATGAATAATGTCATTGTCCTTGGAACTATGAAAATAGGGTGAATCTCTGTTACAAGATTATTATCATGGTCTAGTTTATGTATATTTGCTTCTTATATAACTGGCTGTTGTCCTTTTCCTTAACCATTGAAGTAAGGAGATGTATATTTATTGAGTGCCTGTTAGATGTGGAATAGAGAGCCACCACCATTTTAAAAGGACTCTTTTGTACTAACAAATCAATCAGAGTAAATCTCAGTGAGCTACCATAATGCAGAAAGACAATTAAAAGGGAATTTGCGTGTTTTCAGGTATGTTGGGAAAACTGATTCTATAACCATCAGCGTGTGGAACCACAAGAAGATCCACAAGAAGCAGGGAGCTGGCTTTCTGGGCTGTGTGCGCCTACTCTCCAATGCCATCAGCAGATTAAAAGATACTGGATGTAAGAACCAAATGCTTTTCTGCCTCTCAATACAACTGAAGAAGGCTTATGAGGCATCTTTTTTTTTTTTTCTTTTGAATACTGAATACACAAATTCCTGCCTTCCTACCTAGTTAACATTTCCCTGGGTTAAGTTTTGAATTGTTTGTTTGCAGACCAGCGTTTGGATCTATGCAAACTAAATCCCTCAGATACTGATGCAGTTCGTGGCCAAATAGTGGGTAAGAACTTTCTCATCTGTATAAAGAGATGCTTTTACAGACTTTAACATTCAACGCTTCATCACCAAGAAAGCACACACAGGCACTGACAGTGGTGACATATTTCAGAGGACAAGCCACATCCGGGGCCATCTTTTCGGCACTAAAAACGTTCATCTTGTGTGGTTTTATTATTTTATCTAATTCCCTTCATCCCGTCATTCCAAGTTGAGTTAAAATGACCAGGCTTCAAAAGAATTTTGGGTTATAATTTTAAATATAATCGTAGACACCGTATTCATGGATAATTAATTTGTCATTGTCTCCTCCAAGTGTATATAAGAATGGTGGCCACACATGCAAGAGCTGAGAAATAGTTTCTTCAGGAAGCCCTGTCGTGTATGTACAAAGCAAGGATGACTTCGGAAGACTTCAGTCAGGATTGAAATATGTAGGAGGAGGAAAATCCAATGTGCTAAAGTTACAAGTGTTGACTGGAGTTATCCCATTGGAAGCGATTTATCTGTCAAGTGGCCTGTTCTATTATCCACCCCATCTTACTAGCATTTTAGGGTAATTCAAATGTTGACTGTGTGCATTGCAAGGAGTCAGAGAAAACCTAGTTTCAGCTGCATACCAGAGTGAGTTAGGACACCAGAACTTTCAGGTATTGTCTTGAAGAGACTTGACTCCAAATAAATGAACAGTGGGTATGCATCCTGAAAATTGTCATAATGAGAAAGTTCTCACTTAATACTTTTTTGTTTACTTGTTTGTGATTTCTTTTTCTCTATGGAGTGATGTGCCAGGGGAAAAATGAATAAGTGAAGCAACTCTATAAATGTCTCTGTTGTTCGTAGTAGGAATAGAGAATAAATATTTAAATTCATCTAGACCTTCGCAGATACTGAAAGTGCTGTGTCCTTGTTAAGCGTAAGTCAAGATCTTCTTTACAAATGAGGTCACTCAGAGGAAGTGACTTTTGTGAATCTGTTATCTTTGTGGGGAATGTGAAAACACAGCACCTCCTTCTCCACATTTACCAGGAATGTTCCAAGCGGTATGCAGTGGCATGCAGCTATTGGAGTAAATGCTTCATACTTGGGAGCCTTAGGAATAGATGTGTTTCTGTATATACATGTGCCTCGCTTTGTCTAATAATGTATGTAAGTTACACATTTGGAATGGCTCATTGTATTACAACTGTATGAACTGCCACTGGATTTTAATGCAAGATGTTCTTTTCTGTTTTAGTCAGTTTACAGACACGAGACAGGATAGGCACTGGAGGCTCTGTGGTAGACTGCAGAGGACTGGTAGAGAATGAAGGGTACGTATCCTTGTGACCCTCTCAGGTCTTGGCTGCCTTGGGCTCTCATGTTCCATGAAAGTAGCCTTCACACCTTTGTGCTGAATGCCTGAGATACAAGAAAGAACTTTGGGATCAAGGCAGGGTCCAGTTTCCTTTATAAGGGAAGCTGTAAAGATAAGTTGGGGTTGCGCCCACAAGACTCAGGATCCAACTGAAGGAGATTTTCATGGGCCAAAGATGGAAGTTTGGCCATCAATGAGAATTATAACTGAATTATAACTGAATGGAAACACATCAAATACATTAAAAATTCTTGAGTTCATAATGACAGGGGGAAAAAAAGCCCTAAAACATTAAAAAAAAAACCCAAAAAACCCAGCCTTAAGAACCCATTGGTCACTATCACAGTTTTGCAATTCCAGTGCCTCAGTGGAGCTGGACAGTAATCATTAATAGTTGCTAAAACACCAAAAAGAGGTAATCTGACATTAACACACATATTGGAGATGGAGAGGATGGGGAAATAGGCTGCCCATTCCCAAGGGCAGAGTGTGGGAGGCAACTCTGTCTTCAACAACTACATGGCAAGAGAAATAAACAAAAAGAAAGAGAATCTACAAATTAGTAATAAAAGAGACTTTAGAGACACACCTACTAAATGCAGTGTGGGGACCTTGTTTAGATCTTGATTAATGAGACTACTGCCTGAAGAAATTTGGACACTGGTATTTGATGATATTAAAAGAAAATCAGTGTCCTTTTTTTTAGTCATGATAATGGAAAAGGTCCTTATCTTCTTGAGATATATCCTGAAACATTTAAGAATGGAATGGAAACACTTGGGGATTTGTTTCAGAATGATCCATTGGAGGGGAGAGATTGGAGGAGTAGCTACGAGCTGGCCATTGTTCTAGCTGGGTGATGAGTTCCAGGGGTGGGATGTAGGGGATGGTTGTTGAGATGGTCTCTCAATTTGTATATATTTGGAAATATTCAATGTTTCAAAGATTTTTTTTTAAGAATACTTGTGAAGGGAATGGCCTGTTAAGGTAAATTGTCTTCAGAATTGTTCAGGAGGTAGAGATTTATGTTGGGGAGTACTCAAAGTCATTGCATCACTTTGTATAGCCAGGAGTTCTATTATAGAGTAAAGTAACAAGGAAAATGGGGTATTTGGATTTGATTTTAAAGCAAGAAAAATGAAATCTCATTTCAGGAGCTCCTTGTAGTGCAAGGTTGGGTTTTCAATCATTCAGCTCTCCCTGAGGTTGGAACCCTGCATGTGGCTTCGGTGGCACTTTACATATGGCTCCCTTTGGCTGCTTTTCCTCGTGAAAAAGTCTGTCTTTATGTTTCAGTAGTACAGAATGAATTTCACGCAGCTAGGCACTGAGGGCATCTATCTCTATTGAAGAAAAGCGCAGTAAATGGGTTTGGGGGAGTGTCGAGTTGGGGTTTTTTTTTCGGTGCTTGTCTTGGGCCACTGTCCCCATGTGTGCTGTCCTCCTCTCCTCTTCAGAACCGTGTATGAAGATTCAGGGCCTGGGAGGCCACTCAGCTGCTTCATGGAGGAGCCAGCCCCCTACACTGACAGTACAGGTGCTGCTGCAGGGGGAGGGGACTGTAGGTTCGTGGAATCTCCAAGTCAAGATCAAAGACTCCAGGCACAGCGGCTACGAAATTCCGAGGTCCGGGGGTCACTACAAACGCCCCAGAACCGACCCCACGGCCATCAGTCACCAGAACTGCCTGAAGGCTATGGTGAGAGAACTTGCCCCACCATCTCGCCTGCTGGTTATGCTGGTTTGTTTTTTAAACCCTTTTTTTAATAACTGGTATGTGCCATAACTGCTGATGTGTGTAGAGCCATGCCACATGATGGTTGTGTCAGAATTAAGACCAGTAAAAAAGGCCGTGATAAATCATGAATTTGTCAGCAATTGCTCTACTCTCCCAGTTTAGCAATCGTGTGAAAATTTTAGGCAAATGAATACCCAAAAAAATCCTAGATGATGCGTGGGCTGGAGGAGGGTAGGTGTAGCCTTCTGTGGTTTGAATGTGGGAAGGACAGCACTGGGACGACGGAGAGAAGGGATCATATGACTGCCCCAGAGAGGAGAACACAGTGAAGGAGGAATAGGATTCAGATATGCAGATAATAATAGAAGTGAGAGCAGACGGAGGTGACCGTGGTCAAGGGGAGATCAGTCTCCAGGCAGAGACATGGCCAGCTACTCATGGGGTGCGGCGGAGGGAGGGGAGCATCACGTCTGCAGGTGTGAGCAGGGAGCAGTGAGAGCTGCCCCAGTACATGCACAGGGTTTGTGAAGTTAGCAGGTCCATCAGAGGCGAATCACTGTCCTCTTCTCCATGATTTTAAAGAATACCGAAAGGAAGCTTAGACTCTGTGCTTTGAGGATTCGTTGAAAGCTCTCCTCAGGATTGAATCTAACTGACCTGCATCCTCTGATGTCTTGTGCAGAGCAAAGAACAACGGTTCAGGGGCAAGTTTACTTTTTGCACACGCAGACTGGAGTTAGCACGTGGCATGACCCCAGGATACCAAGGTAGGTCTTCTGAAATGTGCACGGCCAAAGCCCTCTCTCCAGCAGTCCAAGGGGACTCCCCCCACCTCCCTGCTGGATGATAACACACACACACACACACACACACACACACACACACACACACACACACCACTATCACCACCCCCACCCCCGGCTGAAAGAAGAGCAGCTTCACAGAGAGAATGAGTCACCCACACCCGGTCTCAGACCCAGGCTCTCTAGGTTAGAGTCCCAGTCCTGCTGCCCCCTTCAGGCTCCTCTTTGTAAATGGGCACCTGCTGTCTCACAGGTGGGTCCTTTAGAAAGCCTGCCTATACCTTGAAAGCAGATCACATAACTGAAAAAGAACCTCACCCCTAGATGAAATCACATGTGCTCTTGCTTGAAAAGCCAATGAGTCCTTCAAGATGTGTTGCTCTCATTTTCCACTAAAAATAATCAATGGTTGAAATGATAGGATGTCTGAGATTTTCAAATAATCTGGGTGGGGGGGTTAGGGGGCAGGTTCAAGGTAGATGGACAGTGAGCTGGTAATTGTCAATGTTGGTTATTCATCGATGGTCTCGCTCTACTTTTTTGTGTGCTGAAAATTTTCCATGAGAAAACATTACAAAGGAAATAGACTCAATTACCTTTTCTCTCTTCTACTTGACTGCCCCTATGGCCTCAGTCCCTTGGGGACCATTGCTAGGGGAGATGAGGCTTTTCTATACAAATTCCTTCTACAAGGCCATACACCTGAGTCCAGGTCAGAGAGACCCCCTCCCCTCCCCTGCCCCATAATGGAGTTAAGTCTTTTTTCTTTTCCTTTGTTTTGCTTTCCTTTCCAAATTTTTTGTTTTGTTTCCGAATAGCACTACTACCTAATAACATTTTTAGTAATGCTCCTTTCCTTTCTCTTCATAATTTGTTTGATTGACAACAAGCTTCCTGTCACTGACTTCCTGAGTCTCTATTAACTTTAAGATTCAGTATCTATAATTAGAATAGAAATATTACCTGCAAATGAATGAGGTGTCTCATTAGTACCCACTGTAGGAAATGTCAGGTGTTGGGCTAATTAGACAAGTGACTTGGTCAGTGATGATCTGCTCCCATGTGACTAGACTGGACTGACCTCACTAACCGAGAGGTTAGAATCAGAAACATTTGTGTAACAAAGCCCAGTAAAGCATGAGAATGCCTCTTTCCGCTGCATCTGCTCAGAAATGGGAGATTTCGAAGGCATTTCATAAGTCCCCTGGAGCTTTAAACTTGTGCTTCTGGGAGCTTTTCAGTGAAGATACCTTTGTGACCTTGAGCATTTAATTTAGCTTGTAAATTCAAATAGTTTTCTGACAGCAATCAGCTATTTCCAGCTACTTGGCCCTCTTTTGTGTAAGAAATGCTCTTCCTAGGTGGGACCTGGGGGAAGATGGGGACCAGGTTCCCTCATGGTTGTAGGCTCTGAAAGCCTCATTTTTATCTCTCGGGTGTTGCTGCCACTTGCAGCACGGAGGCCTGGACTCAGTAGGACTTTGGCATGTAAGTAGCACCATGACTGTTGTTCTTAGGAGAACTGGGACACAGCCGCATTGACCAGGTTCCTCTCACTGAAGTTTTGGTCGTATACCTCCACTCTCAGATGGACAAACTTCTCTGTTATCTTCCATTTTGGTAGAGACCTTAACAGTGTGAATTGTGATGAACTTGGACCACTGCCACCAGGTTGGGAAGTCAGAAGTACAGTTTCGGGGAGAATATATTTTGTAGATCATAATAACCGGACAACCCAGTTTACAGACCCAAGATTACATCACATCATGAAGTAAGACTTTTTACAAAATCTTTGTTGATCTTTTACATTTATAATTTCATGTTTTCTACTAATATTTTTCTTAATGTACCTACTACATGGTTTGTTAGTGGAGAATAAGTACAATATAGATATTTGGTGGGCAGATATGCATTTCAAACTCTCAGTAAACTGTGAGCGGTTCTGTGGGTGCCTGGTTGGCTCAGTTGGCTCAGTTGGCTCTGCCTTTGGCTCGTGTCATGATCCCAGGGTTCTGGGATAGAGTCCTGCATCAGGCTCCCTGCTCAGCAGGGGTTCTGCTTCTCCCTCTCCCCCTCCCCCTGCTCATGCTTTCTCTCACTCTCTCACTCTCAAATAAGTAAATAAATTTTTAAAAAAATAAAAAAAGCCATGAGTAGTTCTGAAGCTGTATTGTTGGCCACCTTTTATTGCTACAGCCTAAATAAAATTCACTGAGAGGGCAGTATTAGACAGTACAGCTCCATTCTTGAAGCTTCCGTCATGCAGTTCTCTGAGGGAGTTGGTGGCCCTTAGAGCGAGGGGCAGTGAAATTAGGCTTTTCCTTAGTGCCTGCTCGTCACCACCTGGAAGGGCTGCTACAGTCCATAATGCTCCTCACTGGAACCTTGTCCTATGCCCATCATTCTGGGACAACTTGGAACTGAAAGTTATCTGGGATCCCATGTTCAGTGTTCTGGGTTTGTTGTGTTCTCTAGAACCTAAGAGCCCACATTAGCCCTTTTCTTTGACAGCTGACCTTGGTGGCAGAACCTGAACAAGACAAATGCCACTTCATTCCTCTACTAGCCCTATTCCTTGATTCTACCAGAATTTTCTGAGTGGGCTTAGAAATGCCTGGGTCGTGAAAATGAGGAATGGTTTCCATTATATTGCACTGGCATTGTTTGCCCCTTTATGATAATCTGCTTATGAAATTTCTCACGTCAACTCCATGTAATCCTAGCCACCAAGGCACATCTCACCAACTACACATTGGTCAGTCTCACAGATACATACCAGATGCGTGATAAATGATTGCAATTTATGCTTTTCTTTATAGCACTGAAAATGAATGGGATGAGCAGTTGCTTGGAATTGGAATTGGGGTATTATTCTTTATTTAGGCCGTATCTAGACCTCTCTATGTAGGCCAGTGGTGGCCACTGTCAGTGTTTACACATCTTCATGTATGGTTATATCAGCAGAGAGAACATTTCTTCTTGCAGTTCAGTCACTCAGTGTGGGGGGCACTGCTTGCAGCTCCCTTGGCTGCTGCTTTGGAGTGACCTAGATGCTTCTGTTCTTTCCAGTCACCAGTGCCAACTAAAGGAGCCCAGCCAGCCACTGCCTTTGCCCAGCGAGGGCTCCGTGGAAGATGAGGAGCTGCCTGCCCAGAGATATGAACGAGATTTAGTGCAGAAGCTGAAGGTGCTCAGACATGAGCTTTCACTTCAGCAGCCCCAAGCCGGCCATTGCCGCATCGAAGTATCCAGAGAAGAAATATTTGAGGTATGAAATTTGGTGTGACCAGCAGTGAGGCACGGATTCTTCATCCCTGTTTACAAACAGTGCATTCTCCTTTCTGTTGGGTGTTTCAGGCCTTGATTTTATTACTCAGTGAATTCCAGGGCTTTTTCAGGACCAGTGGTCACACAGAGAAACAGACTGTATTTCCTCTTGTGGTGGAAGTTGAAAAGCTGAAAAGCTCAAGAGCCTCTAAAGTGAAAATAAAAAGATTTATACCGAAACTAGTACTAAATAATCCTGTTGGGACACCTGGGTGGCTCATTGGTTGAGTGTCTGCCTTCAGCTCAGGGCATTGTGATCCCCGGAATCTGGGGATCAAGTCCCACATTGGGCTCCCTGTGAGGAGCCTGCTTCTCCCTCTGCCTGTGTTTCTGCCTCTCTCTGTGTGTGTCTCTCATGAATAAATAAAGTATTAAAAAAAAATCATGGAAATCCTCTTACCTGCTCTGTGCAGATACGCATTCCCAAAATCTGCCTGGTTTCTTCAGAACCAGTCATTCCTTCTATTGCCCTTGCACAGAGCTTCATCCATTGGCATGGCCTCCTCAGAGCAGCTTAGGGACCAAATGGCCACTACATTGTGTTTTCAGGAAATAAGGAAGATCAGCTGGGTCCTGGGAAGGGTTCTGTCCTTCATACAGCTCCTCGGAGGGATCAAGGCCACCAACCAGGCGGGACCCTCTTGTAGACGGGGCCCTTTACTCCAGGAAGATGATCGGAAGGTAGAATCTCCACGATTCTACCTTCATCTGGGCCACATCTGGCCTGCCTTTGTGGCATCATTGGCAGAAGTGATCAAAGGAGACTGGATAGGGCCTGAACGCAGATTCCTACTGGGCTGCAGCAGCAGGAGGAGGGGCACAGGGGTGAGTGAGGACTGTGGCTTGGGGAGCCTTCATGGTGATGGGTACTGAGGAAATGCCCAGGGTTAGCTTGTGTTCCAGTGTTGGGCAAATGGAGGAATTGGCCAAAATGGCCGTTGAGCAGTCTTAACTGGTTGCTGGGGAGAGAAAAGAGCTGAATTATTGACATGTTGCTGCCAGATCATTCCACTCAGCATCCTCTTTCCCTCTTGGGATGCCAGAGCTTGAATTACATTAAATTTAAAGCATGAAAAGATTCTCAAGTGCCTTATCATTGAAAATGTCTACAAACATTCAGCTAGTTCCACTCAAAATGCTGAATCTGGGGGCAGGCTGGGCTGGCCACCTGTTCTCTGTGTTTTGGGTAAGCTACTGTATGTCTTACTAAAACCTTTCTTTTGCTTTTTTGACTCTGTGGAAATCATGTGGTTCTTCACCTCAGATATAAAAACAGGCTTAGAATGTTTTTACTATTCAGATTCTCTAGTGACATCTTCATGTTGGTTAAAATAAAGAAGCTGTTCTTAGTATGGCCACATTAAAATTAATTTGTGTGGAGAACATGGGCTCTAGGGAGGATGTGTGCTCTGAAGCCTTTAGTGATTATGCTGAGAATGAGTCTGTGAGTGTCCTTTCGGTGTGGTGTTGCCTGGCACCAGCTGCCTCGTTTCTGAGGGAGACCCGGGGAGATCTGGTGACAGGAGCCACTTCATAAGCTACACGGGACACTAGACACCAAATCAATGCTCTGATAAGGAACCAGAGTGAACTTGGATTTAAATGAATATGCATCCTAATTCAGGCTTCATCTGACAACCTTTCACCTTTTTGTAACTGTAACTTAATGCCACCTGTTCCTCTCTCTGACACTGTCATTTTGCCGAGCAGGAATCTTACCGCCAGATCATGAAGATGCGGCCAAAGGATTTGAAGAAGCGGCTGATGGTGAAGTTCCGGGGAGAAGAAGGTTTGGATTATGGCGGAGTGGCAAGGTGAGGGGCTGGGTCAGTCCCACTTTCTGCTCCATGGGGCTCTGCACTGCCCAGATGGGAGGTTTTCGGGGAGGCGCTTGTCCTGGGGTGATCAGGACTCCCATGTGGCCTTCAGCGCTTCTGGCAATGAGGGTGTGGCAGAGCCACACTTTACTTCTTGGAAAGAGAGGTTTAAATTTTTCAAACCCCCACCCCCGCCCCTCCACTCTATCTGGCAGCTCCACACCTGAAACACGAGGGACCTGCTCCTGAAATTAGTCTGGGTGGGAGGCAGCCTTGCTCTTCTCAGGAGAGGACTTTTGGGGCACTTGTTTGAAAGGAATTTTGCAAAATGCAAAATTGGTTGGTCAAAAGAATTCCTGCACATGATCTTAAAAATAGAAAAATGAAAAGCTGCTATTTCCCATCCTACCTCATTACACCTTTGAGACAACTGCCTTTTTTGCTCTTTTAACTATTTCTTCTAATAGGTAAGGTAACATTGTGTCACTAAATTGACCAAGTTCAGACATTATGCATTGACTATGTATATGATCATAGACACAGATAGATGGGATAATGCTTGTGGTGAGATCTAATTTAATACTTTCCATTCCTAGTTTGGTGCCGTCACAATTTGTAGATCTTCTTTCATTGTCTTTGTAACTGTACATGATGTGTTTTCACCATTATTTTTGGTTTGTCAACTGGAGATGGTATCTCTTGACCTCATTTTCATAAGCAAAAGGGATATAAATACTCCTGACTTCCCCTTCAGAAGTCCTTCCCCGTTTACCTCCTATGTTCTGGCATCCATCATACTTTCACAGTGTAGAGGTGTAAGGTTTCTAGATTGTTCTGTATCCTGTGCATGTTGGCCTATTATTATTAAGAGTTGAAAATCAGTACATTGTTTGTACTGTTATGACTATGTAAATATTGTTCACTGAGGGCTTAGGTGGTATTTCATAATTTATTTTAGCCTTTTGAACAAATTTTAATTTCTCCAAGGATTTATTCATGTTTGTCTTCTTTTCTAAAAAAGCAGGCTTTGTCTTTACGGCCCCATTAAACTTCATCTTTTGCTATCCCCCAAACCTCCCTTCCTTTCTGTGTCTCTGTCGTGGAGACCATCCAGCCCTGGCTCTCTAGGCCTTCTGCACAGTTGTCGTCTTGGGGCTTCGCTGCTTTTCTGGGCTAGAGCTTTGCTTTTTGGATCTCACAGCTTTCTCTTCCTTGGTTTTCTCTCTCATGTTACCAGAGTCTATTCTTAAGTGGCTTTCTTAGAAAAGACCTGTGGGAGGCAAATCTTCCAAGGTTTTACAGAAAATATCTGTTAATTGTCATTTTGACTGATAGATTGATTTTTTTATAGACTTCTAGGAAGAAAATAACTTTGCTTCAAAGCTTTGAAGGCACTGCTGTCCTGTCTTCCAGCACCGGGTGTTCCTGAGCTGTGGTCTGATGACAGTCTGATTTTAGGCCTTCCTTCACCAGAAGTTATTTAGCTCCACCCAGAACCACCTGTCATCCAGGATCTACTACCTTTTTTCTCTTTTACACCCCCTTCCCATCCTTCCTCCTTACGTGCCATCCACCACCACAGCCACTCCTTTACTTCTCTTTCCATTGGCTGTGCTTGGCCAGTAGAACCTCAGCTCCGAAAGGTCTGTCCTGGGGCCACTGAGCCTCTCCTGAGCAGCAGAGGGTGGCTGGAGGAAGATGCTTCCCTGCCATGTTTCTCTCTGCTTCTCTTGCATCCCCACTACGCTCTTCCTCAGATCTCTCCCTCGCTCCCACCCACCTCTACTCCCAGCTGCTGACTTTGGTTCCTCTTGCTCTGAGGACACAGAAGTAAAGAGTATTTCCTTACCACTACCAGATACCTAGGCTGCTAGCATCTGGCCCTGTGTGGGGCCCTGTATTCCCTGAATGGCGCTACGTGGCCCAGGTGTGTTCCTGCAGAAGGGCAACCCTGCGCCTTGTACAGTACGTGCCAGAACCTTGTGCTCCTACTGTTCTTTCACATCTGTCTCATTTCCTCAAAAAGTTCCTCTCTCCTTTTCTCTTGGGTTGGTTTTGCCCACACACACGTGTGCTACAACTCCCTTCTTAAAAGAAACACATGCCCCCAAGCCTTCCCTGGACAGCATATCCCCTTCTGTCAAAGCTGTAAGGAGGCATGAAAGGCAAATGGAGCAAAGTAAAAAGAAAAACAATGGGAAATTCCTGGAAAAACAAAAATGTGCTTAAGAATGCTCCTCCCCCCCCCAAAAAAAAAGAATGCTCCTCCCTGATTCACTGACCTGTTTTGTTTCTCTGTTCTCCTTATAGCAGAACCCCTTGCAAGAGTTGTTCACCACCCTAGCCCTGCTTCTACATCCCTCACTTCCTCTTGCATCCCTCCCCAGCAAACCCTTCTGTCCTCTGAAGCCTTTTGTGTCAAGGTCTCCCTTGGCTTACATCTCCCCAGGCCCTGCCTTACCACTCCTGTGCTTCCCACTCAGGTGCTGGCAGCAGCACCTGACAGCATCGGTCACTCCCTATTCTCGAAGCTCTTTTTCCACTTGGTTCTGGGACACTACCCTCTCTTTGTTTGCCTTCTGGCTTACTGCCAGTCCCCTGTGCGGTGCTCCTTACCCTGAAGCATCGGCAGCCCTCATCTCAGTCCTAGGCTTGCCCGAGTGACCCCTGGGTTACATCTTTGCGCCTGTGCCCTACCTCTTGTTCCCCTCAACAGCGCACTTGTTTGCCCTGGGCTCTTCTCAGGGATTCTTAAAACTTCCTAAACCTAACAGTACCCAATCTCTGGTGGCCCCCTCATACTAGTTTCTTGTTTCTCCTACCTTGGTCCCTGGGCAGCCCTGACTCCCTCCCTGTCACCTCCCAGAGCCCATCCAGCCATGGTCCTCAGCAGAGAGCCCTGCCCCGACCACCTGTGGCCCCTCCATCTCCCTGGCTCCCCATTCAGGCTCTGCCATTCCTTGCTCCCGATTGCCATGTGGTGGCCATTCCCCCTGCCTCCCTGCTTCTCACTGTCCTGCATAGGCCACTGCCTGAGGCAGCTAGTGTGAACTTTCTAGAGATTCTGGCGGTCATTCCCTATTCCAGAGCCTCCAGCTGATGCCTCACAGGTGGTCCCAGGCCTGGCCTGTGGTGGCTGCACTCTCCCTGCGGCCTGCCTCGGGCCTATAGTATCCTGAGATTTTCGGGTAGCCTGTCCCTCTGTTCTCTGGAGTCTGCTCACACAGTCCCCTTTAGGGTCCTTCCCTGGCCCCGGCCTGCATGCCACGGCCCATGTGCCCCGGAGCTACCCTGTCCTTGTTGAGTCCCCACTTCCCAGAAGAGCACCTGACAAGGTGCTGCCCAAGCAGCGGCATGTTCTGACTCACAGTGTCCTCCCTTCCATGTCCTTGCTTTGCTCTTGAAGTGCCTCTTGCTCAGAAGCTGGATTCCCTGGGCTGACCCTTCAGGTCTCTCCTCTTTTTCTTTCATTTCCCATCTTTGCTTGGGAAATTTTTTCCCCTACTTCTAGGAGATCTCAACTTCCGGTGCTTGAGTGTGTTTTCTTAATGTGAACAAAAGTGGTGGTTCTGGACAGTCTATTTATTTATTTTTACTTCCCCATCTCTGAGGGTTTTTTTTTTTTCTCTTATTGAAGTATTGACACACGATGTAACATTAGTTTCGGGTGTACAACATAATGTTTTGTAAAAGTCTACATCTTATGCTCTGCTCACCACAAGCATGGCCACCACCTGTCACCATACAGTGAGTGCCACGGCACTACCACCGGCCATAACCCTGTGCTGTGTACCTTCTCTCCCTGGGACTTCCTTATTGCCGTGGTCGCCTGCTCCCCTGCTCCCCTTCACCCACCTGACCCCGCCCTTCACCCCTTACCCCTGGCAGCCATCAGTTAGTTCTCTGTCCTTATGGGTCTGTCTCTGCTTTTGTTTGTTTTGTTGTATTTTTTAGATTCCACATATAAATGAAATCATATGATATTTTGTTTCTCTGGCTTATTTCACTTAGCATATTGTCACAAGTGGCAAGATCTCACCCTTTTTTATGATTAACATTCCATCATGTATGTATACCACATGTTCTTTATCGTTCACCTGTCCGTGAACACTGAGGTTGCTTCCGGATCTTAGCTATTGTAAATAATGCTGCAGTAAGCATAGAGTGTATACAACTTTTTCAATTAGTGTTTTCATTCTCTTTGGGTAAATACCCAGTAGTGGAGTTAATGGATTACATGGTATTTCTATTTTTAATTTTTTGAGGAACCTTCATACTGCCGTTCACAGTGGCTGTACTGCTCTAGCATTTTAATTATTTTTTTAAAGATTTTATTTATTTATTCATGAGAGACACAGAGAGAGAGGCAGAGACATAGGCAGAGGGAGAAGCAGGCTCCATGCAGGCAGCCCAACATGGGGCTCGATACCAGGTCTCCAAGATCACGTCCTGGGCTGAGGGTGGCGCTGAACCGCTGAGCCACCTGGGCTGCCCTGCTGTAGCATTTAAAAAATCTTTTTATGTTGTCATAACATACTCATTTATTGATTCCATGGTAACAAAATAAAAATTGAGGGATCCCTGGGTGGCGCAGTGGTTTGGCGCCTGCCTTTGGCCCAGGGCGCGATCCTGGAGACCCGGGATCGAATCCCACGTCGGGCTCCCGGTGCATGGAGCCTGCTTCTCCCTCTGCCTATGTCTCTGCCTCTCTCTCTCTCTCTCTCTCTCTGTGACTATCATAAATAAATAAAAATTTAAAAAAATTAAAAAAAAAACAAAAAAACAAAATATAAATTGAGAAGTTCTTATCCATCATCTATGAGTCTTCACATGACTGAATCTTCTTAACACCCCTGTCATTTGTATGAGAATTGTGTTTACTCATTAACCATTAAATGTTGAGACTCTACGTGTACTAGGGATACCACAGTGAGCAAAGTAACATGATTTCTGCCCCTCCAAAGTCCCGGGTCTGATGAGGTACAGACATTAATGAAAGAATTACACAAATAATTATGAAATCTCTGGTAGCTGCTACAGAGGAGGCCCGTGCTCCTCCTGTAAGGATGTGTCTTGGGAAGTCAGGGGGTAGGACAGCCTCACATGCCCACGATTTAGAAAACACAAGCCAACTCTCAGCCCTACAGCAGTTGCCCCAAGAAAAATTATGTTCTGAAAAGCATTATAGGTGGTCAGGTGGTCTCATTTGGTTTCTGGGTAGAGCTGGTATTTTCTTCAGCAGCCAAAGAAAAGAATTAAAAAGCAAGAAGTCACAATCTGGCCTTCAGGCCCAGATGGAATGATTCCTCCACCTTCGTCCCACTGACTGTCTCTGCCCTTCTCCCACCCTCCGGCCAAATCCACCTGGGATGACAGATGCAGAAAGGCATGCGTTTGCCCAACAGTGCGCTCACCTCCGCACCAACTCTCCATGGGAAACATTTTTCCTTTCAAGACTATCCTTAGATTATTTCTTGAACTTCTCGATCTTGATTCTAGGAACCATCTTTCTTTTGGCAAATGTAACTTCTGTTTGCCCTCAATAGCACAAATTCTGTCTCTGGGCAAGAGGATTAGGGGGGCAGAAAGAGAATCTCCCTAGACATTCCTATTTGCCCCAATAATTGAAATTAGACTACTTGCATTCCCTCTTCTATGCTATTTCCTTTATAGTCTCAGAAATTCAGTATCCTGAACTGTTCCAACCTACCATCATTCCTTTGCATGGCTGGTATTATATATATTGTCAGGAATAGCTTGGTTTAGTTTGGTAGGAGTTCTCTTCTTTCTACGTGTCCTATTTTTATTAAGTCTTCCGCATGGGGAGAAGTCTTTGTGGAGCAGCTTTGGCTGACACGGTGCTCTAGCAAAAAGAGCTGTGAGTTCTGCCCTTTTCCTGCCTCCAGTTGGGTCTTGTATTGTTTCAGGCCTGGGGTCCTTCCTCTGTGTACTGTAGGGAAGCAGACCCCCTACAGAGAGCTATAGAGAGATATACATCCCACACATGGTGTGTTCTCATCATCTGGTCGATGAGAATCCGTTTACGCTCACTTCCCCAGTGTTTGGTTCTGAACCATTTCCTGTATCATTAAAAAACCATTTGCCTGTATGGTCAGCTTTCCCCTTGCCACTTCCTTAGCATACCTAATATGCCTCCCTACCTCGTGCGTGACTCGGTCAGAATGTTTGCTTGTATTTTAATCACTTCCTGTCTAGACAGTTGCAGGTCCTTGGCTTCTGAAAATGATTCTTCTCAAACTCAAACTCTAAAACGCAGGGATGAGTCCAGGTCTTATAGTTGGGAAATTCTGCCTTTCCTAATAAAGGATTTTTTTTTGACATTTAGGGTCTCCTTGCTTCTGGCACTTCCTTTCCATTCTTTTGAGCTTGATACATAATTTTGTTGTGGTCTGATCCTTTTTGTGAGTATCCTCACAGTTTTCTTGGATTATTTGCATGTGTGCTTGTCCTTTCATAATCTCTCTCAGTTCCATGCCTTTTCTATTTGACAGAGTAAGAAATTCCAGAATAAAACTTGAGTAGAAAGAAGAGGCTCTTTGTAGAAGTGGTACAGGTGCTTGTGTAAGGTTCTCCCCATACCTGGGCTTGTCACAGCTAACCATAGCACTGAATCATACAGGTTCTATTGAGAGGCTTGTGTTGTTTCTGATTTGGGGCTTTTTTTTTCCTTTTGAAATATTTTATTTATTTATTCATGAGAGACACACAGAGAGAGGCAGAGACACAGGCAGAGGGAGAAGTGGGCTCCATGCAGGAAGCCCAATGTGGGGACTTGATCCTGGGTCTCCAGGATCATGCCCTGGGCTGAAGGCAGGCGCCAAACCTCTGAGCCACCCAGGGGTCCCTGATTTGTTTTTTTTTTTTTTAACAATGAAATGATTGGAATATATAGGAATTCTGAAAATAATTTCTTCTTATATATTCCATCCAAATTTTAGAACTCTTAGAATTAATCTTATTAAGTATTAAACTTTTTTCTTTTTTTTTTTTTAATATTTTTTTTTAATTTTTCTTTATTTATGATACGCACACAGTGAGAGAGAGAGAGAGGCAGAGACACAGGCAGAGGGAGAAGCAGGCTCCATGCACCGGGAGCCCGACGTGGGATTCGATCCCGGGTCTCCAGGATTGCGTCCTGGGCCAAAGGCAGGCGCCAAACCACTGCGCCACCCAGGGATCCCCAGTATTAAACTTTTTTATTAAATTACAAAAAGTAATGAATGTTGTGGTACCTGGGTGGCTCAGTCAGTTGAGTGACTCTTGATTTCGGTTCAGGTCATGATCTCAGGGTCATGAGATCGAGCCCCGAGTCAGGCACCATGCCAGGCGTGGAGCCTACTTAGGATTCTCTCTCTACCTCTGCCCCTTCCTTGCTCGCATGCGCACTTTCTCTTTCTTGCAAAAAAAAAAAAAGTCATAAATTTTTATGGCAAAAAGATAGAATTTGACAAGATAGAAGATTATGAAGGGCAAAAGTCATTCTTATTCCCTATCTCCCCAGACTCTGAAATATCTTCTCCTCACTTAAGTGTTAGAAACATGTTAAAGGGGATCCCTGGGTGGCGCAGCGGTTTGGTGCCTGCCTTTGACCCAGGGCGCGATCCTGGCGACCCGGGATCGAATCCCACGTCGGGCTCCTGATGCATGGAGCCTGCTTCTCCCTCTGCCTGTGTCTGCTCTCTGCCTCTCTCTCTCTCTCTCTCTCTGTGACTATCATAAAAAAAAAACAACAACAACAAAACATGTTAAAGTTGGAAATTTAAAAAATATCTAGGGATCCCTGGGTGGCGCAGCGGTTTGGCGCCTGCCTTTGGCCCAGGGCGCGATCCTGGCGACCCGGGATCGAATCCCACATCGGGCTCCCGGTACATGGAGCCTGCTTCTCCCTCTGCCTGTGTCTCTGCTCTCTCTCTCTCTCTCTCTCTCTCTCTCTCTCTGACTATCATAAATAAATAAAAATTAAAAAAAATATCTAGAAAGAACCAAAAGAAAAATGAAAGTGTCGCAGACTGCTAATTCTCAGGTTAACTACTGTCAACGTATCAGTGTAAATCCTCCTTTTTCTCTTTGCTCCACGGATAGTTTTTTCCTGTTGTGTGTACATGTGTGTGCATGCACACTCTTTTTAAATAAAAGTAGGATCTTAGTTCTTATTGTACTTTTGTCCATCATTACCACATCATGAACATCATCACCTGAGATGTGGATCTTTGCACAGTAGCAAAGAAAACTCCAGCTGAGGTGCAGGAAAGCTGACAAGATAAGTGTCGAGAACATTGCTTGCAAGAGGCGGTCCCGATTCTGGTCCATCTGGTTCATCAGCTTCAGAACCATCGGGGTTTGGGCCATAAAAGCCATCTGTCATTCAGTCAGAAGTGAGTTATTACTTCCCAATCAATCTGTGCAAGTCACTTTCTCTCAGAGCCGGACATCTCTCCAGTGTGGCCTTCCAGGGCACAGGCAATGAGTCTTTTGGGTAAGACATAAGATTAGACATTTCACACGTATAAAATGGCTTTCATTGTTATTGTTCCTAGGGAGTGGCTTTATTTATTATGCCACGAAATGTTGAATCCGTATTATGGACTCTTCCAATATTCTACGGACAACATTTACATGTTGCAAATCAACCCGGATTCTTCAATCAATCCCGTAAGTATTCATGCTTATAAAGAGGGAGTGAATTGGAAAATTTTTGTTTTTTTCACGAAGTGAAAATGAGCTGCTCAGAATGCTCAGAGCCCTTTAATCACCAATTGGGGGAACTGAGGTAGGACTGTGTTTGTTGACCGTGTCATTCTGAGACGTGGGCTACATAGTCGGTCCTCCTCCCAATCAAAATGGGAACTTCCCCAACTGGCCTTTTGGGCCATCAGTGCTGATAGTCTTAGCTGCTTGCTTGAGAGGAGGCTGTAAGTGTGGAGTGTTTGCATGACCAGCCCAGGGTTGGGCAGCAGGTGTTTGGGGGCTGTCCTGTGGGGCGGGGCCCGTGGTCACCGCTGCCCGAGGCCAAGGCCCCTGAGGCAAAGCCTGGGACCAGCTCTACACTACAGTCATTCAGGTGTGACAGAGTTCTTTACCAAAATGGAAATGAGGTTTTGAAGAATTCTGATTATAATTCCGATGGAAAGCAGAGATGTGTGTTTTCCTGTGAAAAACCAGAGCAGCTCTAGTTTTAGAATGGTCCTCTTACACTTATTTTCCTCTCTGTTCCTTTTTTGCTGTTTCTTCTTCTTTGGATTTTTTTCTCTTCCACTTTCTCTAGGGACTCGGGGAGGGATGGTAGAGGAAGGAGGGGATTTGCCATCTGCTTGCTTTCTCTGGTGCAGCAGGGAGACGCGAGGCCAGCTTCCTAGGCACCTTGCACTTTGGAGGACCTGTGCTTGGTTTCATTCCCTGCAGTTGCTGTGTTGAAATCCTTAACAACTTGGGAGTAAGGGGCCCTGCATTATCCTTTCACACAGAGTGCCGCCAGTGACGTAGCAGTCCTGAGCAGGTGTCTGGATTAAGGGCATGTAACATGTTCAGATGATCTGTGCAGAAGATGTGCTCCAAGTTTTGACCACCTAACCTGCTCTCTTTCCTATGTCTGAGAGCACAACCTGTGAGGGATGGAGTCAGGGCCTGGCTGCAATGAGACAGTTTTCCCAAGAAGCTTGGAGGCAGCACATGGTCTCTCCACTCTGGCTTGGCCTTTTTCTAATGACTTCGTGTTCTCTGGTGCCCCCTACAGGACCACCTGTCTTATTTCCATTTTGTGGGCCGGATCATGGGTCTCGCTGTGTTCCACGGGCACTACATAAACGGGGGCTTCACAGTTCCCTTCTATAAGCAGCTCCTGGGGAAGCCCATCCAGCTCTCGGATTTGGAGTCGGTGGACCCAGAATTACACAAGAGCTTAGTGTGGATTCTGTAAGTACAGCCTCACCGTTCAGTTCATGGAACATTCGTGCATAGCCACCCATCTTGTGTGCCAGACTATCATTCTGTATGCGTGTGTGCATGTGAATGCTTTTGAGGGGTGGGTGTGAAGTTGGTGCAGAGAAATAAACACTGATTTACAACCAGAAACATAAAAGAAGATTTAACAAGAAATACTCTGTTGACTGGCTTTTTTCATGATGTTTGGCCAGTTTCACTTCATAGGCTCATTTCTTTTGCTGTTTCCTCACATTATTCAGGTCTGATCACAATTAGGCCCCAGGCCTGAGAGGTGGGTGGGTGGTTTGCTTTTGACTCTCTAGGGGGGCTCTGGTTAGCAGGTAGAGGGAAAGTATCAAAAACAAAATTAGCGTCAAAGTATCTTATGTCAAAGTATTTGCTACAAGAAAAGTATCAAGAGAAATTATATTCAGTCACCTTTGTTTTAGAATTATCGTGGGCGGTCCGGATGGCTCAGTGGTTTAGCATCTGCCTTCAGCCCAGGGCGTGATCCTGGAGACCCGGGATCGAGTCCCATGTCAGGCTCCCTGCATGGAGCCTGCTTCTCCCTCTGCCTCTCTCTCTCAGTGTCTTTCATTAATAAATAAATAAAATCTTTAAAAAATAAAAATAATTTTAAAAATTTAAAAGAATTATCCTAACATACCCTTGGAAGCAGTGGGCCCAGTTGCATGGTGAGCAGCGTGTCACAGGTCCTCATACGTGAACTGATCCCACAGCAGCGGGAGATCCAGGCTCTGGCAGAGGGAGAGTCTCATCCTGCACTCTGTCTGCCTCACTTCACATGGCCCTACTGGAAATGGGTAGTCTGTGAGGGGTAGGGAGATATTTCCCTCTGTTTCGAGAAGTGTGGCAGGCGGAGGAGCCCATCGAGACTCTCACGTGCTACTTTGTGTGAGGGGCTGCCTTAAAGGGGCGGGAGGACAGTATCATCTGAGTGCATCTCCCTGCAGGTTGCTTTCCCATTGACTCGGCTCTTCATGCATCCCTCTCTTCTGTTTATAGATCTGTTTACAAAGCAGTCAGGTCACTGTGTCTCGTAAAATCACAGGATGACAGAGCCACTGTCACCTTCCTGTGAACGAGGGGAGCCAAGTGTCAAGGGCACATCATGGAACCATGGTCCCCTGGCACCTCCCGCTCCAAGTGTCCCTGGCCTGTCCCAGGCCCTGTGTCTGCCCAAGGCTCCTCACCTTTCCCCACTCAGCTCTGGGGGTAGCGGTCAGTAAATGCCATCAGTCCGTCCATCCATCTCCCGGACTGTTCCAGCTCCTGTTCTGTTCACAGCTGTATTGTGGCCATGGTCTGACATCCGTCTTCTTTCCTAACTTCCACAGAGAGAATGATATCACCCCCGTGCTAGACCACACTTTCTGTGTGGAACACAATGCTTTCGGGAGGATTCTTCAGCATGAACTAAAACCCAATGGCCGAAATGTTCCTGTCACAGAGGAGAACAAGAAAGAATATGTCCGGTAATGTTCCAGGGAACCGTGGTGGCTGCCCATGGGGACGTGCAGATGCCTGGGACCATCCTGGGTTCACATTTAGATTGCCAAAGTTCCTTTGCTGTTTGAGGCTTACTCATCCTGGCCAGCACTTTTGACCAGAATCACAGTCATAGAGCAGTCGGGTTCAGCAGCGGGGCTCTGTGCAGAGGAGCCCCAATCCCACCAGGGCTGACCTGGTGAAGGGAGACTAATGAGCCCAGAACCCAGGTGGTGGAAGGGATGGCAGGTGGCCTTCCGATCTGGGGGTGAAGGTGGTGGGCGCAGGAGAGACTTGGAGCCTATTAGTTTCCTTGAGAGCAGTCTCCAGGAAGTCTGCTTCACTGTGGTCTGTTTTCCTTCCCACCTCTGATGGCAAATAAATGACTAGTCATTTACACTAGAAATCTGGAAGCATATGGGCTTGTCGGTGTGCTTAGGCTGCCAGACTGGCGTGTGGCTCTCACGGTGTCTCGTGTTTTATTTTCAAATCTACTTTTCAGTTATGCCACTTGCTGTGACAGGTCAGGTTAATTCCTACTGCTGTCTTTAGCAAAGCACCAGAATATGTCAGGGCCTGTGCTGACTTATTTTTAACCTGGTACTTCCAGCTGGTGGGGGTTTGGTGCCCCCCAGGGGAGGCCTGGTGGGCAAGGCATTAGCTTCAGCAGGTGATGTCAGAACCTATTGTGAGGAAAAAGTCTTTCCCGTGAACTATTTGCTATTGGCTTTAACTTGTGAATTTGTCTTCCAGGTTGTATGTGAATTGGAGGTTCATGAGGGGGATCGAAGCCCAGTTCCTCGCTCTACAGAAAGGGTTTAACGAACTTATTCCTCAACACTTACTGAAGCCTTTTGACCAGAAGGAACTAGAGGTATGTGCTCAGCGGGACGAGCCAAGTTAGCAGTAGAGGTCTCAGATGCCTTGTCTGACAGTGTGGCTCGCCTGCTCCCCAGCAAGGCTGGGGTTTGTCAGGGTTCCAGAAGAACAGAGCTAGAGCCAGTGGGAGTCGAGGGTGTCTGAGCCTGTTTATGTCCAGGCCGAGGGGCTGTCTGCTTGGCGGCAGTGAGTCTAGATCCTTCTCTGGATGTTGTGTGGGGCGTTCTGTGTCTTATATTTTTTAGGAGCTCTAGCCCTGGAAGTTCCTAAACCCCCTCCTGTGTATCCACCTCAGAGGGAAGAAATTATCTGCTCTCACCAGATTCTCCCACGACGTCAGCTTTCTGTTTTGGCTCTTGCTATTATTAGACTCAGAACAAAGTGTTACTGTCTTCTCTAATCACACTTCATGTGCTCGAACATAGTGGTTCATTCATCTCTAATCCACCTCCAATGCCAAATGGCTCAGGGCTCTGAAATCCTTCTGTCTTTCTGTCCCTGGTGAGGTGTCACCCGCGGCAGGCAGCAGCTCTGAGCGCCCTCCTTCCCCCAATGCAAAAACACATACGCAGCTCCTGGTGTGGTCCCTCTGCTCCAGATCTTGAGCTCCACCTGTCACGGCCCCTGAGCCCCCCCCCCCCAGATGTGGCCCTTTTTTACACTTGGCCCCTTTGGTCTTGCCAGTTGGTTCTCTTGTACCAACTCCTCGTGGATGTGGCACAAAACGACAAATGTGGACTTGGTTGTTAGAACAGGAGCATGTGCCACAGGCCAGGGGTTGCAAAGTGGCGCGAGGTGGCCATGAGTTGGAGGTACTGGGCTGCGGGCATCCTGCTGCACTCTCTGCTTGCCCAAGTCTGGAGCTAGTCTGTTCAGACACTGTAAATCACCTCCTTTCACGTCCTGGGCATGGGAGGTGTGTCGGGAGGGACCCTTGTTTGGACATTTGAGAAGTAACCTGCCTCTGAACACCTTCACAGCTCATCATAGGCGGCCTGGATAAAATAGATGTGAGCGACTGGAAGTCCAACACTCGGCTGAAGCACTGCGTGGCCGACAGCAACATCGTCAGGTGGTTCTGGCAGGCCGTGGAGACCTTCGATGAGGAGAGGAGGGCCAGGCTCCTGCAGTTCGTGACTGGGTCCACTCGGGTCCCTCTCCAGGGGTTCAAGGCTTTGCAAGGTGACTGACGTGGAGGCGGGGCTTCTGACCCCTTGTGTGTGTGTGTGTGTGTGTGTGCACGCGCTTGTGCACCCCACCCCCCCAACGCATGTCCCCTGCTAGGCTACAGCAGGAAGAGCTGGACCACCGTGGTGGGGTGCTTCTCCTGAAACATCTGCTAGGAAATGCTGTGGCCTGTGTTCCTTAACAAATGTTTAGCATCGCGGAGGTGCGCAGCTGGCAGAGAGGCTGCACTTGCTCCCTTGTAAAAGATGGTGGGCTCTAGTCGCCATTCTCCCTGGCGGCTCCACGGGTCAAGGCTGTATGATGTTTTGCCCAAGAAAATACCCATAAACACACAGGAGAGAGGCTCGGGAAAGCAAAGCCCAGCTCCCTGTTAAGCTCACCTTTCGCAGCATCCCTGGCCCAGTGGGCAAGTCTGCAGCCGCCGTGGTGGGTGCCGGCCAGCCAGGCACTTGTTCCAGGCTGAGTCGGGCAAGATCTGAGCAAGGAAGGGCCCTGGAGCCAGTGCCTCCCCTTTGCCCTATAGAATCGATTGGTAGAGGGAGGGTACAAAGAGCAACAAGGCTTTGGGGAAGAAATCAGCATTTTTAAAGTGCCACATGGATTCATTTCTGAGTCTTCTGATAGCAGCTCTCTGTGTGCAGCCCTGAGATGTGGGGGAGAGGCCTGGCCTGAGCATCAGGAGGTGGAGTCTTTTGTTGCCTTGTGGGTCATTAGTGCCCAGACCTCAGTTTCCTGCTCCGTGCAGATGCACTGCTTGATAGGCTCCACTGTGCGGTTTGGGTACCCAGCCTCTCTCTTGTCTCTTCCGACTGTGATCAAAATAATCTGATGTCCAGAGTTTTGATAACCCTGAGAGTGGAGGGAAAAAGGTGAAGAATGATAGTGTACTAAAACTTAGTAAATGGAATTCTGCATGTTACTAGTGACAGCAGATACACTGCACGTGTAGGATGTTCCCTGTAGACTCTTCTGTGTTTCAAGGACTTCTTTGACAGAAGTCACTTCCATCCCCTTGGGCTTTTGTCCTCGCTGTTTGTCTCTTTTCTTTTCCCATCGTTTCTCTGCCTGCAGAGATTTCCTGACCCTGTATCCTGCTTTTATTATAACTCTGCTATCCTCTGCCAGTAGCAGGCCTGCTTGCTAAAGAATTGTTCAAAAAAAGGAAAAACATAACTAGTGGTTGAAGGATTTTACCCTTCAAATATGCCCACCTGAGTGGGTTCCTGGCCAGGGTACCTGGGGAACGCTCAGCAGTCTGCTCTGTCCTTGAGCTTTTCTAGAATGTCTGAGACAGGTCACAGGATGGCCATGGTCAGCATAGCCGAAAGCAGGCTGAGGTCATGCTGCAGTGTGAAGGCCGTGACCCTCTGGCAAGACGGGCAGCCCAGGCATGGGCTGGGGGTGTGGTTGGCAGTGGGGCCCGGGCCCTGCCTTTGAAGTGCATTAACTAGAATGTTTTCTTGTAAGGTTCTACAGGCGCTGCAGGGCCCCGGCTCTTCACCATCCACCTGATCGATGCCAACACAGACAACCTTCCAAAGGCCCACACCTGGTAAGGACCGGGATCCTATCCCCATGGAGTGCCACCCTTTGTGTGACTCTTCTAAGCTCTTTTCTTTTATGTAGCACTCTGTGTCCTTTATCAGCATCCCAGAACAACTGGCTGTGGCCCTGGTGTCAAATGGAACGAGCAGCCAGCAGTGTGTCACATGAGGCTTATCGGAAGTCTTTCATGAAGCCAGTTTTGTTGTATTGGCTGGCACTCCAGCAGCTCAGGTCTTGTCCTCACTGGGTCTTGTGTGAGCACACCTGTCCCTCTCAGTAGGAAAACTAGTTTTCATTTAAAATTTATTTATTTATTTTTTTTTGAGAGAGGACACGTATGTGTGAGTGGTAGGGAGGGGCAGAGGGAGAGGGAGAGTCCTAAGCAGGCTCCAGGACACTCAGTATGACCCAGCGCTCCATCTCATGGACCTGAGATTGTGACCTGAGCTGAAATCAAGAGTCAGATGCTCAACTGACTGAGCCACCTGGGTGCCCCGAAAAATGTAGTATTTTATATTTTATAAAAGGCTTATTTTTTTTTAAAAGATTTTATTCATGAGAGACACACACACACAGAGAGAGAGAGAGAGATACAGGCAGAGGAAGAAGGAGACTCCCTTCAGGAGAGCCCGATAATGGGACTCCATCCCAGGACCCCAGGATCATGACCTGAGCCAAAGGCAGATGTTCAACCACTGAGCAACCCAGGCCTCCCAAGACTTAAATATTTTAGAGAGAGAGGATATGAGGGAGGGGCAGAGTGAGAGGGAGAGAGGAACCCAGGCGGACTCTGCACTGATCTCAGAGTCAGACCTGGGGCTTGGCCCCGTGACCCTGGGATCAGGACCAGGGCCAAAACCATGAGTCACATGCTTAACCGACTGCACCACCCAGGTCCCCAAATCTGTAGTTTCTAATTTGGAGTTACCAGTCTTCACTTCCTGGGGCTCCGTTTCCTTTCTCAGAACTTAGTCCATGATGGATGCATGTTGTATATTGAAAAATGTTTCTTCCCTAAATTTTAACTTAAATAATATCTATAGCAGGTTATTTCCTTTGTGGTTTAAAAATCAAGTTACTTCCATACAGTTTGCCTCAGAAACTGTGTATTGAAAAGACTAGTGGTTCTAGTTCAGGAGAGCCAGCTCCTGGTCACCAGGATGCATCAGGGTGTAACAGAAGGTTCCTGATTGGGAACCTCAGGGCGTGGGTTCCGATGTCTGCGCCATCCCAAGGCCATGGCGAGGCTACAGCGCCCTGCCCAGCAAGGCCAACAGTGCCGTGTTGATGCCCGGCAGCTGCTGTGCTCCATGTAAGGCTCTGTCCGTTCATAGTTCTGTGCCTCGAGGGAACCAGATGTGAGGAGTGTCCTCTGACGCTTGAGTTTACAAAAAGACTCACCGCCATTCAGCCTAAATCTTTCTTGAGCGAAACCATCCTTAATTGCTTAACCCCTTGTAATTTAGTAAGCTACTACATGGCCTCTCGGTCTGAATTCTGTATTTTTTTATTCGTTAGGAGAGAATATCCTTCTTAAGGGTGTTCTTTTTTCCTTTTTCTTAAAAACAGCATTAGAAATGAATTTCCCCAGGGAAATGCTGGTTCATCATTTGTTTCATTTCAGTGTCAGAGATTTGACATTTCATTAGTTTTGAGATAGAGCTTGTTTTTGCAAGAAGTATTCCAGGCTGGCCCATCTGGTCTCAGATCAAGTCACGGAGGATTAGATAGACATGCAGGAGATTGTTAGTGGTGATCTGACCGCGGCTGGTCTGGTTTACAGTGGTCTCCCAAGCTGGTATTCCTGGTGCTGAGCAATAACTCCTCCCGAAGACAACAAACAAAACGAGCTGAGCGCTTTGTCCTAATAGAACCAAGAAATAGTAACTGGTTTCATTTTGGTTTTAAAGATCTTAGAAGCTGTTTTGCTGTGTGTTCAATGAAAAATCTTGACTTTCAAAGCAGAAGGACCAGGGAGAAGTGGAAAACTTGCCTCTACCTCCTTATCCCAATGAGGCGATGAGCTGCTTTCCCCTTCCCTTGGCTCCATCCCTCCTCCGTGCACGCACACACACACTCTGCTAGCTCAGGGCCACGAAGGCACTGCCCCTGCCTGTCCTGTCCTTGAAGTAGGTTCTAGGTCTGGACCACCACCAGGAATGACTCTCCCTCTTTTGTCCTGTTCCAGCTTTAATCGGATTGACATTCCACCTTATGAATCATATGAGAAGCTCTATGAGAAGCTGCTGACAGCCGTGGAAGAGACTTGTGGGTTTGCTGTGGAGTGAAGAGCAACCAAAGGCAACAGATTCTAGCTCATGACCACCAGACCAAAAGCAAGCTTTCTGTGTGCCTCCTGCGAAGCTGGCTGAGGCCTGGGAACCCTAGATAACCGGAGGGAAAGGGTTGTCTCCCCTCCTTTTCGTTGGGGGGAGCAAGGGGGGTGGGGGGACTTTGGTTGGTGGCTTCCACCCGTATTTTCCTCCTTTATGACAGTACTCCCACCCCCTTCCATCACCCATCCAATAAAAGGCAGCCAGGTTTAGCATTTGGCTTCGGTCACACAGGATATTCTATGACTGTAACCCTATGGTGAGAGGCTCACTGCCCTGTGGTCTTTAGCGGAGGATCGACCCACAAGTTCTGGAACTGAGCTTGACTTACTGAGGGTTCGTAACTGGTAGCTCCACTAGCTGTGCTGTGTCCAAACAGTCCCGAGGCCCTTTGCAAGTTCAGCAGCTCACATTCCAATCACAGCCTAGCAATCTGCTCGGGGTAGCAGATTAATTTCTAACTGAAAAAAATAACCATATCTTCTGTCAGAATTCTACGGCAGGAAGCTTGCATCGAAAATGTGCTTCCCTTTGGAAAGATAAAGGAAACCAGGGCAGTTGCGCTGGAGACCCGGGGTATTTTTCAGGGTGTCCTGGCTGAAAAATGTGTTTTGCATCAAGAAGAATGATCTTTCTGTTAAGAGTCCCCTTTGCCATGTTATTGATCTAGTTCAAGATATTTTTCCAGTGAAAATGCCACATAACAGAGCTTATAAAAGAACAGACCACACCAGCCTCAGATCTGTGCAGCCTGTCCTGCCTGTATGTGGGCTGGGCACCCCCAACACTAACAAAGCACCGCATCACAGGAAGTTGCTACGAGCTGAACAAGAGAAGTCTGTTGTTCCAGCTGCTGGCTTGGTGTGCACTAGTCTAAAAGGGAGAGGGGGAGACGGATAACCTCAGTGACTTAGCTCCCCTCACCGAGTTGCTGTTCTGACAGTGGGGGAGGTTGGGGGGATGGTTCCACTCTGCTCATTCTGCTCATTCTCCAAGTGTCAGATGGCGACACTAGCAATCACTGCTCACTTCACTCGCCCAAACATCCTTCCCGTGCTGAGCGAGGCCAAAGTCAGCCCGGACCCTGAGTTTCTAACACCCCTTTCCAATGGGCACAAGCAGCTCAAGCAGTATTTTAACCGGGTGGTTTGATTGGAGACAAACTTCCATGAAGGGAAGCAGCAGTGGCAGCAGCAGCAAATTGTCCTGTTTGGTTTTTTGTTGTTGTTTTTGTTTTGGGGGGGGCCAGTGTGGGGTAATTCATTAGCACGACATTTCACTGTTGAAATTTTGCAGTTGGTTTTGGAGTTAAGCGTTGGGATCCAGCTGTAGGTCTGAGATGGGTCCAGAAGGACTTTTTTGGATGACTCTCAGTTACTGAAATCTCTGGACCATGGTGGGTTTGGAGGCATGCTTACCCTTCCTATTTCACTGTGGTTCTTCGGGTGCCCTGTGAGGAGCTCTGGGACCTCTTGGGGGAGAGACCCTCCTTTGGAATGAGGGGTTTGCCAGTTTGGTGGGCCACGGGTGCCGGCTGTGGGTGCCAGGAGCTGCGAGAGCACACTTCTGGGCTGCTCGTGGAGGTTCTAGGAGAGAGCGCGGAAGGAAAATTAAATCTATTCAGGAAGTCCAGGCCAACTTGTGGGCTTGGTCTTCCAGAAGCTCTGCCTTGCCCCCATTGGGCTTATCTTGTGTCTCGTTTACCATGATCCTTCTGAGGGCGTTCTAGAAGCTGGATCCCCCTTGTCTCTCTCGTCCTCCCTCGTAATCTTCCTCTGGAAGAGCGAGGAAATATCCACTACAGACCTTCCCCTAGATAGGCCTCCTCTCCAAGGTGAACCTCCACAGTGTGAGGAGGAGTCCTCCCCAGGGGAGCTGAGAGCACCCCCTACTGTGGTGGGAAGGACCTCTAGAGTCTTCTGTGGTGTTGGCCAAAATCTGTAGGGATTAGTGAGGAGACGAGGGTGTAGTAGGGTTTTTGTGTTTGGCTCCTTTAAGACGATCTTCCTGCTGTGGGGAGGATCAGGGCACAGTCCTTAGGCCAGCCCCGTGTTGCTCCCATGTGTCAGGTTCAGATGTCACCTCAGCGAGCGTTACCTGTCTTGTAAGGCCTGGGTCTTGGCTCTTCTTCTTACACTTGCACGTGGGCACCCTCATCAGCTGTGTGGTACAAAGGAGCCTGAAAGGGCAGAACCTTCCAGAGCCCTGGTTTACTCTTGCCAAACGGGCTTGTCAGTGGCATCACACTTCTAGAACCTTCACTATCAACAGTGGATTGAGCTACCCCAAGAGTAGCATGGCAGACAGTGGGTGAAAGCTCCTGATCGCTCCACTTTGGGTCTGTGCAGACCCCGTTCCCCACAAGCTCTCGTTCGCCAGCCTCCTCAGTAATCCCCATCCACCCACCCGTCCCCCCTCACCTCTTTGCCCAGATGCTTCAGGGGCCCAACTTCCAGGCTTGCCCTCACCAGCGGTCATCAGCCGACCCTCAGGGATGTAGCAAACCACCGCTCTGCCAGTGCTGTAGGTAGGAAAACCAGAGGGGCCATGTGGGGGCCGTGAGGACAGCTCTCTTCTGAGGGGGACGTCTGCCCCCCAGGTGGAGCGTGTTCCCTAAGCTTGCTCAGCTGCGCGGTCCCAATTCAGGTGAGGTGGTCCTCAAACCTGGGCTGTCAGGAATGGCCTTCCGCAGAGAAGACGCCCCGTCCCCCAGCCCCATGTGCAGCCAGGTGTGTGCCGCACGGCAGCCTTCCCAAAACATAGTATGAATTTTTAAAATTTGTTTATTTTTTGTTTCTCAACCACTTTATAATGTATTTTTTAATTTATTTTGTAACGTCTTGTTTTTAAGTATTGCTGCTATCCTTGTTATTCTTCCCACTGTTTTTATTGCTGATTTATTTTGTGAAAATTGTACACTAATGTTGTGTTTTATGTCAAAATCAAAAATATTTAAAGAAATACTAGTTCTATTTAATGTGGTTATGGAACCAGCTGGAAACACAAAACAAACAGTGATTGTACAGCAGGCTGGACCCGGGAGGTCAGATTCATTTTGTTACATATGCAATAAACTCACAACTTTACATTTTTTGGTGTCTGATATTTTGGTGTGGAAATGAGGTGGAGTTTGTTTTTTTGTTTGTTTTTTTTTTTTTTTTTTTAGTCCCACAAAAAAGAAAGGTGATGGTTAGACAAACTTGGAATGGAAAAGGAACAAACTTTAGAGTTGTAGGGCAGCCCGGGTGGCTCAGCGGTTTGGCGCCACCTTTAGCCTGGGGCGTGATCCTGGAGTCCCGGGATCCGGGAGTCCCACGTAGGGCTCCCTGCATGGAGACTGTCTCTGCCTCTCTCCTCTCTCTCCTCTCTCTCTCTCTCTCCTCTCTCTCTCTCTCTCTGTGTGTCTCTCATGAATAAATGAGTAAAATCTTTTTTAAAAAAAATTTTAAAAAAAACTTTAGAATTGTAGAAAGAGTGAATAAAAACACAGCAGGCAGTTGAACGTGCTCTGTCGAGGAAAAACTTGTGGGCTAGAGAAAGTTTTGAATCTGTTAACTGGTATCTTCACACATTGGGCATACTCATTGGTTTGCATTTTTATTTTCCTTTTCAATATATTTTTTTGTGGTAAAACACACATAGTATCTGTCAGTTAACCCATTGGTAAAGTCCACTCCAGTGGCAATGAAAACATTCACAACATAGTGCAATAATGACCACCGTCTATACCCAAACCTCTTAAGACATCCTCCCAAACTAAAACCCTTTTTATGGCTGAGTAATGCTCCCTTGTAGGAATGTAGCACATTTTGCATTTCCCTTGGTTTGATGGACACTTGTCATGATAGTTGACTTTATGTGTTGACTTGATCTGGCCATGGTACCCAGAAGAGACATTCTGGACTAACAGCTGTGTTGTCTTTGCTTCCTTTCGGAGTGTTGTGTAGTCTCCAGTGTCTAAGTCACTAGCCTCTTTGGTTAAGTTTATTTCTAAGTATTGTGTTCTTTTAAATGCTATTTTAAATGGAATTTTTAATTTTCAGAGTATACATTGTTATTGTCTAAAAACACAACTGGCTGGTGTGTTGACTTTTATCCTTCAACTTGGCAGATTTCATTTATCCTAATGATGCATGTATAATCTTTAAAGTTGTCAATATATGAGATTGTATTGTCAGCAATTTTATTTTTTCCTTTCCAATTTGAATGCCTGTTTCTTTATTTTCTTGCCTAATTGCTCCGGCTAGAACTTCCAGTACTCTGTTCAATGGAAGTAATGAAAGTGGACATGCTGTCTTATTCCTGATCTGAGAGGAAAAATTGTTAGTCCTTTACCTTTAGGAATGATAGGACTTGTGGGATATTTCATGTATGGCTTTTACCGTGTTGAGGCATTTTCCCACTATTGCTAGTTTGTTGAGTGTTTTTATTATGAAAAGGTATTGAATTCTGTCAAATGATTCTGTGTCAGTTGAGATCATCATTTTCCCTTTCATTCTGTTAATATGGCATATTAAATCGATTTTTATATACTGAATGATCCTTGCATTTTGGTGATCCTACTTTGCCATGATGTGTTTAATCCTTTTACTGTGTTGTTGTATTCAATTTGCTAATGTTTTGTTGGAAATTTTTTACATCAGTATTCGTGAGGGATACTGACTGATTGCTTTCTTGTAGTGTCTTTGTCTGGCTTTGGCATCAAGGTGATGCTGGCCTCCTAAGAATGAGTTAGGAAGCATTCTCTTCTCTTTCTGGAAGAGTCTGAGGAGGATTGGTGTTTGTTTTTAAATGTTTGGTAGAATTCACTGATGAAGCCATTGGGTCCTGGACTTTTCTTGTTGGGAGGCATTTGATTACTGACTCAATCTCCTTACTAGTTACAGGTCCATTCAGACTTTATTTCTTCATGATTCAGTCTTGGTAGGTTGTGTTTCTAGAAATTTGTCCATTTCATCCAGGTTATCCATTTTGTTGGCATACAATTATTCATAGAGCTCTCTTATAATCCTTCTTAATGTATTTGTAGTAAGGTGCCCTCTTATGTGGTTGAGTTCACATCTTTCCCCTGCCATAGGCATTTAGCTAAAGGTTTCCCATTATGTTGATTTTTTGATAGAACCAACTCTTGACTTCAGTGGCTTTCTGTTTTCTGTTCTCTCTCTGCTGTGATATTGTTTCTTTCCTACTGCTAGCTTTCAGCTTAGTTTTATCTTCTCTTTCTAGTTCCTTATGGTATAAGGTAGGTTTTTTATTTCAGACCTTCCTTCTTTTTTAATGTAAGCATTTATAGCTTTAAGTTTCCTTCTTAGTGCTGCTTTGTGTTTTCATGATCACTTATCTCAAGATAGGTTGTTTTTTTTTTTTTTCCAAGATAGGTTCTAATTTCCCTTGTAATGTATTGCTTAACTTCCACATACTCATGAATTTTCCTTCTGTTACTGATTTCTAGCTTCATTCCATTGTAGGAGGAGCAACTGTGTTATATGCTTTCAATCTTCTAAAATTTTTTGAGACTCGACTCATGGCCTTACAGAATGTGGCCTATTATGGAGAATGTTCCCTGTGCCCTTGAGGAAGAGGTATATTCTGCTGCTGTTGGCGGAGATATTTGTATATAGGTTGATTAGGTCCAAATGGTCTCTAGTGTTCAAGTCCTCACAAGATCCTACTGATCTTCTAGTTGGTTGTTCTAACTTACTCAGAGTGAGGTTCTAAAGAATCCTATTAAGTAGAGCTGTCCATTTTGCCCTTCAGTTTTTCAGTATTTGCTGTGGGTGTCTCTGGGTTTATCTTGTTGAAATTTGTCGAGTTTCTTAAAATTGTCCATTTCTATACTCAGATTTGAGAAATTTTTGTCCATCACTTCAAGTATGTTCTCTGCTCCTTTCCCCTCTCTTTCTCCATTTGGGACCCCAGTAATGCAAATCTTTGTTTAATGGTGTCCCATAAGGCCCTTAGGCCCTCTTTGCTTTCATTGTTTTTCTTTTTGCTCCTCTGTTTCACTGATTTCAAATGACTTGTCTTAAGTTCACAGATGCTTTTGACGGCTCAGGTCTGCTGCTGAATCCCTATATTGTATTTTTCAATTCAGCTGTTTTATTTTTTAGCTCCAGAATTTGGCTCTTTTTACTAATATACTTTAAGAAGGTAACTTTTTGATACTCTCATTTTGTTCATATATCAGTTGCTTGATTTCCTTTAGTTCTCTGAGCATATTTAACAGTTATTTTAAAGTCTTTTCTAGTAAGCCTGATGCCTGTGGTTCTTCAGGGATGGTTTCTAGGGTTTCTGAAGATAATATTTTGTTCGTTTTCTTTTTTTAATTTTTTTTATTTATTTATGATAGCCACAGAGAGAGAGAGAGAGAAGCAGAGACACAGGCAGAGGGAGAAGCAGGCTCCATGCACCGGGAGCCTGACGTGGGACTCGATCCCGGGTCTCCAGGATCACGCCCTGGGCCAAAGGCAGGCGCCAAACCGCTGCGCCACCCATGGATCCCTATTTTGTTCCTTTGAACGTTCCTGTTTTCCTGTTTCTTTGTATGCCCTGAGATCTTTAATTGAAAACAAAAGATTTGGGCAGCCTGGGTGGCTTTTAGCGCCGCCTTCAGCCCAGGGCATGACCCCGGGATCCTGGGATAGAGTCCTGCGTTGGGCTCCCTGCATAGGGCCTGCTTCTCCCTCTGCCTGTGTCTCTGCCTCTCTCTCTCTGTCTCTCATGAAGAAATAAATAAAATCTTAAAAAAAAAAAGCCATAAATACCTTTAAAAAAAAAACAAACAAAAGATTTGTTTTGAAATCATTTGAAAAAACAGCCATATCTTCCCATTCTTTGCAGAATGGCAGGAAGACCTTCACTAATTAGCAGAGTGTGTTCTAAGACTTGTGATCAACCCAGAGTGATGGCTTAAGTCAGGTCTTTTTTGGGCTCGTGTCCTGCCTGGGCCCATACATTTCCCAAGCACTCTCTGCCCCTTTTCCCCATACACATGTGGCTGCTTTTAAGAAGTCCTAATTTCCCAAAATCTCACCCCAGCTTCTTCTCGGGACCTTAGACATGTTACTGTATTTTGCTTCTCATAATATCTTGCCCCAGGCATCTGTAGGTCTGCACATGTTATGTTGCTTGCTGCTGCCAACCTGCAGTCCCTCATGCCATCTTCCCCAGCTCCAAGCCAGGCAAGACAGAAACCAGGCCCTCGGGCAGTCCAGACAGCTCAAAACATGGCAAATGAGTTCTGCTCTCCTCCTTTCATCACAAGGGAGGAAACCAGGAATTGGGCTGCTTCCTCCCAACCACGCATTGTTGTGCTAGGAGGGGTTGAGACAAAGGCAAACAAAACTGCCACAGAATTCCCTGCCATTTTGACTGTGGCTTTTTCTTGATGGCATTCACCTGCTTGCTGTAAATTTTTGTCTGCTTTCCAGAGGGCCTATAAAGTTATTTTAGTCTGTAGTTGTTTTTATGTATGTATTTTCAGTGTTTCCAAGGGGGTAGCACAGGCCTGGAACTTCTAGTTAGACATCTTCAATCTCTGCCTTTTGATTAGAGAGTTTAATATATTGACATTTAGTTACTTAGAAGAAGGAACTTGTTTCTTCCATTTATTATTCATCTTCTATGTACCTTACAGTTTTTTTTTGTCCCTTACTTCTTCCATTAACTGCCTTTTGTATCTGATTTTTTTATAGCGACATGTTTTGAATCTCTTCTTGTTTCCTTTTGTATATATTCTATAGATGTTTTATTGGTGGTTATGCAGGGATTACACTTAACATCCTAATATTGCAACAACCTAATTTATGCCAATTTGAATAGCACGTGAAATTCCCTGCTCCCGTGCAGCTCCATCTCCCCCTATTATTGATGTCACAGATTACATCTCGATACATTGTGTGCCCAGTAATATAGATTAGTTTTTTATGTATTTAAATCCTGTAGAAAATAAAAAAAGCCGACTTACAAACCAAAATTATAATGCTAGCTTTTATAATAGTCCATGTGTTACTTTTACTGGGGATTTTGACTTCTGCTTGCAGCTTTGAGTTACTGTCTAGCAAGCATCCTTTATTTCGAATAGAAGGACTTCTTAAGCACTTTTTGTAAAGCAGTCCTGGTGGTGGCACACACCCTCATTTGTGAAGAGCAATTTTGCTGGATATAGAATTCTGAAAGTATCTTTCATCAGTTTGAATAAATCAGTCCTCTGCTTTCCGACCTTCAAAGCTGGATAAGAAATCTGATCATCTTATTGAGGATCTCTTGTACATGACAAGTCACTTCTCTTGCTGCTTTCAAGATTCTTTATCTTGCTGTTTCCTTGAGTTAGTTCCATCTGGAGTTTGTCCAGCTTCTTATACATATAGATTGATGTGTTTCATCAAATTGAGAAGTTTTGGGTCGTTGTTTCTTCAAATATTCTTTTGACTCCTCCCTCCCTCCTTCCCTCCCTCCCCTCTCTCTGTTTCTTCTGGGATTCCCACAGTGCGTTAATGGTATCCCACAGGACTCTGGTTCTGTGCACTTTTCCTTTTTTCTCAATTTCAACTGTCCTATCTTTAAGTTCATTGATTCTTCCTACTTAAATGTGTTTTTAAAACTCAGGGAATTTTTCATTTCAGTTATTACACTTGTCACCTCCAGAATTTTCTTTTGGTTCTTTTTTGTAATTCCTGTTTCTATTGATATTCCTATTTTTGGTCACATACTGTTTTCCTGTCTTTTTCTATGTCCTCCTCTAGCCCTTTCAGCAGCCTTCAGACCATTATTTTAAAGTCCTTGGGTCTAGTACATCTGCTGTCTGCTTCCTCAGTGATGATTTCTGTTTACTTGTTTCTTTCAATGGGCCATACCTTTGTATGCCTTGTGACTTTTTGTTGAAAACTGGACATTTGAATTTTATAATGTAAATCTGGAAATCAGATTATCCTCTTTCCCCAGGGTGTTTATTTTTTCAATTGTTGAAGGTATCTCTGATGAGCCTGAGGTGAAAGCTTGAGGTCTTCTCTGGTCTTTCTTGAACTTGTGTCTTTCCATGAACATGAGCATGGCTTTTTAAATTCCCTTGTATACATGGCTGTTTTTTTCCTTTTTTTTTTTTTTTCTTAACTCACATTTTTCATGGATCAGGACTCCTACCACAACTCAAGATGGTCCTCTGCTCAGAGTCTCACAGGCTGCAATCTGTGTCATACGGCAGTCTTTTCTCGAGATCAAGCAGGGGTGAATCCTCAATCAAGCTCCTTTGGGTTGCTGGCAAAATTCATGTGTTTGTTGTAGCTTTGTGAATGAAAGTCCTGGCTTCTTATTAGTTTTTGGCTACAAGCCATCCTGAGACCATAGTGACTGTCCACGCAGTTGCTTCTGAATATCCTTTTCCTTAAACATTTGGTTCCCAAAATGGGAAATAGAGGGAAGAAATAACAACTGGGGCAGGGGCTATTCCTTTAAATCCCTTGAAAGCCACGTCAGCCAGTGGGAAATGCAACAGTGGCTGTCCACCTCTGTGTCTGCACTTCTTAGGTCAAAAGCAGCCATCAGTGGTCGGAACACAGAATCTCACAGTTGAAGGACGAGGATCTTACTTCCTCCCCCAGCTTTGGCAAGATGCACCAACAACCCAGGCTGCCATGAGGGCTACAAGTAAGGGGATGGGCAGCCATTATTACATTAAATGCTGAAATAGGCTAGAATTCGCCACAGTTTATCAGAATTTACCAGCAAAGGGATCCCTGGGTGGCGCAGCGGTTTAGCGCCTGCCTTTGGCCCAGGGCGCGATCCTGGAAACCTGGGATCGAATCCCACGTCAGGCTCCCGGTGCATGGAGCCTGCTTCTCCCTCTGCCTGTGTCTCTGCCTCTCTCTCTCTATCTGTGTGACTGTCATAAATAAATAAAAATAAATAAATAAAAATAAAAATAATTTACCAGCAAAGCTTTCCGCTCAAAGTTGCAAGCATTTAAATGCCCCCAGAATTCCATTTGAATTTTTGTTTGGAGATGGATTCCTAGTGCTTTCTATTCTGCCAATGTCCTTGACATGACTGGTCATACTTGCATTCACCTCCCACCATGGGTCACTGGAATACATAGGGGGTCTGTAGGCTCAGTGTAGACAGAAGCTGTCCTGCGCTCTTCTGTCGGTGAGGGGACTGTGCTCCGGTTAGGAATGTCTGGCACATCAAGGCTTTTTCTCTGTTCAGTCAGTATACCTGTGTCCCCACACCTGCCCTGCCTACTTTCTCAACAACTTCATAAATCTGCTCTTTTGAAACTTACTGGTTTGTTACTTTATCCTCCCCTCAACCAACAACATTGGCCTTCCCTGGGGCAGCCACATCAACAGCTCACTTGGCTTACCTGATGGTCAGAAATAGATAGATAGATAGATAGATAGATAGATAGATAGATAGATATACAAAATACCCTCAAGAGGAAGGATGGCATCACTGAGAGTCATGACCTGGAATTGAATCCTGGCTTTGTAACATGACCCTGAACACGTTACCTACCCTGTGCCTCAGTTTACTCATTTGTAAAATGGGGGGAAAACAGCATCTTCCTCCCAGGGGCATTGTACCATTTAAATATGTTCCATGCTGACATGTAAGCACTTCATCATAATGGCTCATACTGTTCTGCTGTAATGTTCAAGTGTAATGATGCTACACGTGAAAGGTCTTACCTTTCTGCATCCTTGGGCACAGGGTGTTAGGCTCTGCTGCTTCTCTGCATCCAGCCAAGAGCTGTCCTGAGAACCTGGGGCAGCCTCTGCCAGAAAACAGAAGTCAGCTCCTGGTGCCCAGCATGCCGGGCAGGTGTGCTGGATGGGCACTTTTCAGAACCAGAGAACCAGAGTCTCCAACCATCTTTTGGGGCCCTGGGCAAAGATGCAACCCCACTGTGACCTCCTGGGAGATGTCAGGATTAGGAGGGGTTGGGAGAGTCTTGAGTTTGAATCCAACTCCAGTTCATAACTTTGTGACTTTGGGGGGTGGATTACTTAACTCTTGAGCCTCTGATACAGCAACACAGAAGATTCTCAAAAATGTTGACAGAAGTGATAGTGTGTCAGAAGAGTCCTTCCATCTGAGTACAATGATGTCCAGAAAGGGCCTGAAGGAGGTTTCTGGGCCTCTGGATGTGCATGGTCCCTTGGTCTGGTTGGTAGTGAGTGAGTGAACACAGATGTTTGCAAGTTGTTCACCAAGTAGAATAGAGGAAGGGTCCACCCTCAAACCTGCAGCTGCAGCCTGAGAGAAGAGACCCTGAAGAACATCTGCCCTAGTCCTCCCTGTCTCCACACAAAGGCTGGGAACCCGGATCCAAGGCACCTGAGTGACCTGGGGAAGCCTTTGCAACCACATATTATCTAGAAGTTTCTACCTCTGCCATTCTTGATATGGAGACTTTCGTTTTCTATACAGGGCTTTGCAAGCTCCCCAGCCACCACTCACCCGTCTGTTGCCACCCTGGAGCCCTCTCCACACTGAGCAGCTGACTTTCCACCATAGCCAGCATTCCCGAGGCTCCACTCTCCTGTACCAGGTGTCCTATGAGCGGGGGATGCCTGGATGGAGGGGTGGGCCAGACAGGCCTGTCCAAGCACCTGCACCTCCCCAAGACCGCTCCAGTAACCCTCTAACTGGACTCTGCCCGCCTACTTTTGTCCCCTTTGATGCAGTCACCACATGGCACCTGCAGAGGAGGTGGTAAAAATACCATCGCAGGGCGCCTGCTCTGTTCCCACAGCAGGTGGAAGGACGTGAGACAGACTCCATCCCGTGTGGGGGCCAGCCTGTGATGGCCAGTCTTGCATCTCGGCCTGGGGAAGCTCAGCTGATTCTCAGGGAACCTGCAGAGTCCTGTCACCACATGGAGCTGCTCCTGGAGCTGGCCAGGGATCAGCCTCCTGCAGACCAGGCGCCCCCAGCCCTCCTGCCCCCAGGAGGAGCCCTTGGCCCCCAGGATCCCCGTTGTGATCTCAACATCCTGAAGGGCTTCTACCTCACCTCAAGCATTTCACTGCTTGCAGGATGGGTTTGAAATCAAGTTTCCTTGCTCACAGCTAGACCTCAGATTCCTAAACCGTGAACACTGAACATTCCACTGGCTTTTAAGGGGAGAGTAGTACCTTGTATGAGACCCTCCAGAACCCCTCCCATAACCCTCCTAGATATTCAAAGCTGCCCAGACCTAATGCAGGAGGGGCCTGCATGAGGGGAGTTTCCTGAGCCCTGCAGGGCGGATGTGGCATCCGGACACAGAATGATGCAGGGAAAGGACAGTGCTGGCCACAGCTGGCCGCATGTACTGGCCCCCCACGGCTCATAGGCTGGCCATCAGGCAGGGCCAGGGTGATCCAGACTCCAGGAAGCCCCTCTGGCCCCAGGGACCATGTGCACCAGCCCTGGGGGTCATGGGGTCAGATTCCTGCCCAGGGGCTCCCAGGGGAGGTTGGGCGAGAGCGCCTCTGTCTTTGTACTGTAGGTGCCAGGGGAGTATGTGCTCGCCTACCTGTTGACGGCTGCAGTGCTCTATGTCATGCTGGTCATGCTGCCAATAGGTGACACTTCTGCAGAGGACCTCAGCTGGGGACCAGCACACACAGATTGCTGTGGGAGATGGTGACAATTAGGGTCATACTTGATTTTTCATCACGAAAAGCCCGATTTGTGCAAACAAGACAAGGAGCCTTCCTGAAGGAAAGGCAGCCCCTTTGAGCAGCTTAGCTTCACACAGAAAGCTCCACCCCCCCTTACTTGAGATTTCATGTCAAGAGTTTCACAAGTCAACTAAGCAAAGAGAAAACTCAATGTGTGGAACAGTTGCACCAACAGCTGATGGATGAAAGCTCAGTCTTCAAGCGAGTCCTCAAAACACACCCAGCGCCAAGTAACTGCAACCAAATCAGCCTCTAGAAGCCAACAGAGGAATGAAGGGAGGCTTCACAAGTCCCCTTCACAATGCCCTAAATCAGAATTATCGTCTCTAGGGAAGCATAAATCTGTTTTCAGAAGCCGGAGAAAACTGGAGGAGGAAGGGGGTCAGCGCATGGAATAAAGTGTCAGATGAGCCAAGAGGGCATGTGGGGCGGGGAGTCCAGTGCCAGTCCTGATGCAGGGGACACTGGGTATCCCTAGCTGGTCCCACAGCTCAGCTCCAGGAGGGCTTGGCCAGCAATACGGGGAGGATGTAATGTGGGGATGTGAACTTGGATGGGACGGCTCTGTCAGGAAGCAGAAAGCCCACAGAAGGTGTGTTGCAAGTTTTGAAGAAACTGACTGATGTGGCTCAGATACTTTAAAAAGTCTTGAGAAAAGAGAACACCAAATGTGTGCTATGGTGTCAGAGAAAGAAAATTAGCTGTGCCCTTACAGGTCCCATTTAAAATCTCCAGAGAATCCTTCAGTGCCAATCAGAGAAAAACAGTGATAGATGCATGTACCAAATCATTATATTGCACACCTTGAACTAACACAATGTCATATGTCAACTGTATCTCAAACTGGAAAAAAATAAAATTCATAAACTTCTGTTAAAAAAAAGTTTGAAAAAAATAAAAAATAAATAACAAAATAAAAATTAAAAAAGTTTGGGGTGCCTAGGTAGCTCTGTTGGTTAAACATCCAACTCTTGGTTTCGGTTCAGGTCATGATCTCAGGGTCATGAGATTGAATCCCATGTTGGGCTCCACGCTGAACATGGAGTCTGCTTAAGATTCTCTTTCTCCCTCTCTCTCTGCCCCTCACCCTGCTGCTCATTGTGCTTTAAAAAATAAAAGTTTGAGATCACTTTAAAAATGTATCAATAATGATTTACATATGAAAGTTATAGGATCTTCTGGGTTTGAAAAATATTTTTTTGTTGTAGTACAATTGACACACAATGTTACACTAGTTTCAGGTGTACAACACAGGGATTTGACAAGTCTACATGTTATGCTTTGCTCCCCACAAGCATAGCTGCCGTCTGTCACCATCCCACACTACCATGCCAACACTGACTGTATTCCCTGGGACACACTCCTTCCATAACCGAAATCCCACTCACCTTCAGTCATTCTGCCCACCTCCCCCACTCCCAGCTTTTGGAAAATATTTAAAATAGGCGTGGCGTTTACCTGGTGGGGTTGGTGTAGTCTGGCACATTCTTGCAGCTCTATAGGAATGGGGTTCTTTTTTAAAAAATTTTTTTTTTTAGATTTTATTTTTTATTTATTCATGAAAGACAGAGAGAGAGGCAGAGACACAGGCAGAGGGAGAAGCAGGCTCCATGCCGGAAGCCTGACGCTGGACTCGATCCCGGAACTCCAGGATTGCACCCTGGGCCGAAGGCAGGTGCTAAACCGCTGAGCCACCCAGGGATCCCCAGGAATGGGGTTCTAATCTCCGAGTCAGAGGGCTCCTTCACCCTGAGAGGTAAAAATCAACTTTACATGAGTTCATGATCACATAAAGAATAGAATCTGGATGTTAAAAATTTCCCATTTTTCCTTATGATTCTTTTTAAAAAAAAAAAGTCACAGAAAGTGAGAGGTAGGAGTCCAGCAGAAACTGAATAGAGATGAAGAGATGTATCTCTACTACCATTCAATCAAGAATTCATTCTCCATGGAAAAAGAAAGGAGAATCTTTCTGAAGCAATTTAAAGGTCAGACACATATGTGAACAGCTAAAACCTGGTCAGGAGGCCAAAATTCTTCCAGAAACATCAGAAATCCTCAGTGGACTTTCTTAAGGTCAGTTCATTTCCCATGAGAGAAGCACAGTAATTTAGGAAAAGAATGCAGACTTCAGACAAAAGTTACTCAGAAGGAATTAAAAGTTTAAAAAATTAAAAGTTTAACATATATCCCTAATATTTTGGGTGAAGCATCTGGCAGAGGCCCAAGAGGCCCAGCAGAGAAACCAGCTCCCTGAGGAAGAAGGAACATGGAGCTGTGATGGTACAGGGCTCCAGGCATCCCCCACAGGCTCAGGCCCTCAGGAGAAGAGACCCTCCACTGAGCATGTCCATCCTCCTGATGGCTGGCAGACTCAGATGCTTAGACACTCATCTGCCCAGAACCGCTGGCCAAGATGCCAGTCCTCTCCTTGGACTCAGATGTTCCCCAAACCAAGAGGTCCCAGGGACCAAGCCCAGCACCCGTACTTCCCTACATTCAGGAAAATGAGAATGCTGCCCTCCAGGCAGTCTCTCCTCCTGTGGTCTTTGTTGGCTCAACACATACTCCACTACAAGAGAAATGTCTACACCAGAATCCACCTTCATCCACAGTCTGAGGAAGTGATTGCCTTCTAACGATCTAGAACCTCACCTACATAGTTTTATCTTTGCACTAGAGTAACTGAGTTTTTTCTCTTTTAGCTTTATTGCTAAAAATATAAAACATATTTCATATGTTCAGAGATTATATAGTGGTTCAAATTAGAGTCTTGATAAAACTATTCTTAAAATGATTAATAACTGAAGAATATCTGAATATGAATCTTATAACTTAGATGATTCCATGTCACTCTATTTATGGGTAGTGTGAATACAGAATTTTTGTTGTTACTAAGTCTGTTAAAATAATCCATAAATAAAACAATAATTTCTAAGACAATTTTGACAATTTTTCCTCTTTTGGTTTTATTGCTGTTACAATCATTGGGGCTTAATTTATGGTTGTACTTGACATAAAAGTGAATCTCATGAGTAACTATTCCTTTTTTCCTGAGTCTAGAGAATGTAAGGATGGACAGATTTTGGTTGGTGCCAGGCCCCTCACTATGGGACCTGCCCTAAGAGTACTTGAGGATTTCAGAGCTCATTTTTGTGTGTCAAGGGCTGGATTTAGACTGGATTTTAAGACTGATATATTTCTGTAAATGATTTTTTTCTTTTAAAAGATTTTTAATTTACACTTTCACAAATTATAACTTAATAAAATATAACCTTTAAATGAAAGGCGTAGATGGTGACGTCAGCCAAGATGCAGGACTAGGAAGCTCTGGGCCCTCATTCCCCACAGACACAGCAAAGAACTACAGACTGGCTGAAACAACTTTATGGAAGCTCTAGGAATCAAACATCTACAGCAAGCAAGCAAATGTGCAGTCAAGAAAAAGCTACATTTACACTGATAGGAAATTTCAAGGTGTTTTCACTTGCCCTTGCCTCCCCCCGTACTCCCTCCCTGGTGTGGCACAGCATGGTTTGGGGGAAGTGGCAGCCAGGTCCCCAGTCTCCTTTTTTACAAACCAGGGAGAGCAAAGCAGCCTATCAGAGGCTGAAGGGCTAGTCTTTGTGTCTCATAACCTGGAGCTCAGTCGAAAGCAGCGAAAGCAGTGCAGCTCAAATCTCAGAATACAGGAAGCTACAAGAAGCAACAGGCATGGCCCATGAAAACTGCAAGAGGACTACCTGAAGACACTGGGGGCAAAAGATTACTGATGGAGGAATATAATAGAACGTCTGAGGCTCGAGAAGACGGGGTAATACTCTCAAGAAAATTAAGACGTTTAAAAGCAGCTTTGTCAACTGGGGGAGGGAATTAGAAAGGCATATACATAGGCCCAGGGATGATGCACACCCAGAAAAAGCCTGAGAAGAGCCTCTATATCAGGCCAATCAGCAAAAGTCTTCCTCTGCACAGAAATGGTCTACAAAAACTGGGACATTTTTCAGATGCCCAACTTTCAACAAAAGATTACAAGGCACAAATAAAATATGCATCATACAAAGGAAAAACACAAATATCCGAAAATAGGTCCTGAACATAGACTTATATAAGACAGAGGTTTAACATAGACTTATAAACATAGGCTTTTGAGACAAAGACTTTAAAACAATTGTCTTAAAAATGCTCAAAGACAAAGTGGAACTCTCTTACACTGTTGGTGGGAATGTAAGCTGGTGCAGCCACTCTGGAAAAGTTTGGAGGTTCCTCAAAAAGTTGAAACTAGAGCTACCCTACAACCCAGCAATTGCACTATAGGTATTTACCCCAAAGATACAAACGTAGTGAAATGAAGGGACACTTGCACTCCAATGTTTATGGCAGCAATGTCCACAATAGCCAGACCACGGAAAGAGCCCAGATGTCCATCGACAGGTGAATGGATAAAGAATATGTGGTATATTATTGAGCCATCAAAAAAAATGAAATCTTGCAAGTTGCAACAGCATGGGTGGAACTAGAGGGTATTATGCTAAGCAAAATTAGTCAATCAGAGACACAATTATCATATTATTTCACTCGTGGATTTTTTTTCATATCAGAATTTAAGAAACAAAAGAGAGGAGCACAGGGAAAAATAAAACAGATGAAATCAGAAAGGGAGACAAATCATAAGAGACTCTTAATCATAGGAAACAAACGGAGGGTTGCTGGAGGGGAGGGATGTGGGGGGATGGGGTAGCTGGGTGATGGACATTGAGGAGGACATGTGATACAATGAGCAATGGGTGTTCTATAAGACTGATGAATCACTGACCTCTACTTCTGAAACTAATAATAAGCTATATGTTAATTAATTGAATGTAAATAAACAATACAAAAATAAAACAAACAAACAAAAAACCTCCTTCCCAAAATCCTCAAAGATCTAAGGGGGAAAATGGACAAAGA